GGACATTGACATTCTGGCATATTACACCGACCTTCACACACGTAATCGCGTTGCCGACTTTGCGGCAGCCCACTTCCCAGGCACCAAACTCTCGGATGGCTGGGTGAAGATTGGTCAATTTACTTACGAAAGCAGCGACACGCTCAACGGAGCACACGTACATAAGCTCAGTTCGGAGCTACTTGCTTTGGGGGCCTACACGGATCAAATCGCGCTTCACGTGACCAGCAACTACGGTTCTGACCACACGTGCTTGTACAGAGTGCGACTCTATGGCGTGGAGAACGAGGCTTGAGGAGAGATTGGGACAAAGGAGCGGAGAGATAGATAGCGCCTTTCAGTCGTTGCGTCTCCGGCGTTGATTCGACTGGGCCTCGCTACATTTGAATGGGACGCACTGGCTTAGGATTGGTTTTTTCTTTGCAAGACATGAGGTTTTCCAAGCATTCAGGGAACGAGGGATTGAAAAGGCACCTGGCGTTGGGGGTTGACGATACCCCGTGGACTTCTTTTTGATGCAGTCCTTAGGCAAAGAGAGTATTTAACGCATAACGTATTCGAAGCATTCTCCTGCTCCTGATGAATGATCTTGTACATGATCAAGTGCTTCTATCGTGGCAGGCTAACTTCATTCTCCTTTTGATTCAAATCCTCTCAACGGGGTATATATCGTTTTAGTTCAACAAGCCCGAAGCCAATGCCTCGAGGTCCTCCAACGTCTCGGGCTCGTGGTCAATCTCGAGCACCTTGCCGCCCTTCTTGGCCTTCTTCTTCTTCTCCCTCTCCTCATCGGAGTCATCCTGAAACCACTTCTTGGTCTTCTTCTTCGGCCTCTCGTCTTCGCTACCGCTGTACTCGCCGCCGCCCTCACCCGCAATCGGCAACGACCGCAACAGCGCCAACGGATCTTCATCCCCGTCGTCACCACCGGCGACCTGCGGTCCCTCGGCACTCTTCGGCACACCCTCCCCGCGCTCCTCGGCCTCCCTCTGCTTCCTCTTAAGCCTCTTCTCCTTGAGCCGTCCCTTGGCGGCAAGCTTATCATCCACGTCGGCCTCCTTGACGCGCGCCGCCTCGCCCTCGACGAACTTTTGCCGGAGCGCCTCCGCGGGCCCCTCCTTTTCGAAGTCGTCTTCGTTTTGCAGCTCGTAGATTTGGTGCGCGTTGCCGTCCTCGTCAAAGACGAGCTTCTCGCCGCGGCCTTTGAACTTGAGCATCTTCTTCTTGGACTGGAGGGCCTTTTCGCGGCGCTTGGAGTCGACGATGAAGTCTTGGCCGCCGTAGGATATCACCTTTGATTTGGCGCCGGGTGCGAGGTTGGATTCGGCGTCGAGCTCGGAGTCGTTGAGGACGCGTTTTACGGAGAGGAAGTCTTCTTCTTCGCCGTCTGCGCCGGCGGGTGCTGCTGCGGTGGGGTCGGTTGTGTCGCCGGTGACTTCGTCGCCGTTGGCTACGAGCTTGGTGTAGTGGCCTGAGAGGACGTCCTGGTTCGTGCGCTCGAACATGCGGTCGTACTTTGTCCTGACCTCGGGCTTCTTGGGCTTCTTGGGTCCCGCCGCCGCCGCGTCGTCCGAGTCCTCCTCGTCTTCGTCTGAGGACATGCCCTTGCGGGGCGCGTTCTTGACCTTTTTGATGTCCTCGCCCTTGCGCATCTTGATCTGCGGCGCACCGGGGAGGCCGAGACTCGCGGCGTAGGCGTCGAGGTCGAGTTTGTTGAACTTGAAGACCTCCTTGTCCTTTTGCAGGTAGATGGAGCGGACGTAGCTGATGAAGGCCTTTTGGCCGAGGTACTTGAGGTCCGGGTTGGAGAAGCACATGCTCTGGAGCTGGTCCTTGATGCTCTTCTTCTTGCTCTCCTTGACGGTGATTTTGTTGATGGGTACCTTCTTGAGCTCAAGGCGCTTGAGCATGCCGGCCTCCTCGCTGGGCTCGAGGAAGAGGACGGCTTTGCCGTCGCGCTCGTAGCGGGCGGTACGACCGACGCGGTGGATGTATGTGTCGACGTCTTCGGGGCAGTCGACCTGGACGACCCAGTCGACGGCTGGGAAGTCTACGCCCCGGGCGACGACGTCGGTGGCGAAGAGGACGGATGCGTTTGCGTCGGCGAAGCGCTTTGTGATTTCCATGCGCTGGAGCTGCTTTTGCTTGCCGAGGAGGTGGAGGAGGGGCACACCGGGCTGGAGGTGTCGCATGCCTTCGTAGGCGAAGCGGACCTGTTTACCTGAGGAGAAGAAGACGATGATTTTGCTCTTGAGGTTGGCCTTGATGAAGCCGAAGAGGGTGTCGAGCTTCTCGTGGAGGGGAGTGACGATGTAGTGCTGCTGCAGGTTCTTGGGCGTGGATTCTTCGTGAACGGAGACGTATTCGGGGTCCTTGAGACTCAGGCGCGCGAGGTCGGAGATCTTTTTGCTCTGCGTCGCGCTGAAGAGCAGGGTCTGTCTCGTAGAGGGGAGGTGGTCCACCAAGGCGTCGACGGCGTGTTGGAAGCCCATGTCCATGATGCGATCCGCCTCGTCGAGCACGAGGATCTGGAGGTTATCGACGTCGAAACCGGCCGTCTGGTCGAGGTGCTGCAACATGCGACCGGGCGTGCAGACGAGGATGTTCATTTTTGACAGACGCTCAGCCTCCTCCTTCAAACTCTTGCCTCCAATGACAAGACCGGCGGAAAAGTGGTGGTAGCGGCCGACCTTGCGGAGGACCTCAAAGATCTGGGCGGCGAGCTCGCGGGTCGGGGAGATGATGAGGGCGCCGAGGCCGTCGAACTCTGTCCATTGCGCACGGTAGAGCTTCTCGAGGACGGGTATAATGAAGGCGAGGGTCTTGCCACTGCCCGTCTTGGCGGCGCCGAGGATGTCGCTTCCTTTGAGGGCGAGGGGCACGGCGCGGGACTGGATATCGGTGAGGGTCTCGAAGTGCGATTTCTCGAGGCCTTTTCGGGTCGTTTCGCAGAGGGGAAGTTCGGAGAAGCTGTTGTATTCGCTCTTGGGGTCCTATTGATCGTGTAGACACAGGGTCCTGGGTCAGCCTTGGTCCAAAAATTCGCAATGTCGCCGTGGACTTGGGTTTGGGTGTGGCGGGCGCTCCCGCAAAGAATACTTACAAAGTCGGCTACGGCCCTCTCGAGCTGCTCGATTGTTTGCTGCTGTTGCTTTCTCTTTTCGAGGCGCGAATCTCTCTTGAGGACCTTGGGCTGCTGCTTCTTCCCTGATCCCTTTGCGGGAGGCTTCGTGGGAGTCGCCATTGTCGTCGTTTCGTTTGCGTCAAGCTCTGTCACTATACCGCGGAGGATCTCAGAAGGGCGCGGAAAAAAAAAAAAAGATGTTCAGACGGGCCTTTGGAGGAAGCGCCTGGAAATTTTTTGGCGGCGGGTTACTGCGGTGGAGTGAAAAGTTCGGCATTCGGCGACAGGGGACGCCGTTTGTGGGGTTGGTGGTGCCGCACATATTGACACCTGGCACCGTCTGGCGTCTCAGTTTACTCGAGATGTCTATTTCTCCTTTGGTGCAAGGTAGCCATGTCACCATTGCCATGTCACCATTCCTATCCCAACATAAATCTCATACGTACCTATTACCTAGGCGATAATCAACTTTGAAGTGAGTAGGTACAGCAAAGGAGCCCACAACGGCCTCAATTATTACGTCGGGTAATGTATAGAAGAGCTAGATCGTTATCCATGACAGATTGAATTCGTTGCATGCGTCGAAACATTAATGTGCGTCTAATCGAATCTCTGGGTGATCCCGCGACCCTCGTCCGCCTACATGCCTCCGGCTTTCATTCACTTCAGCATCCAAACGCTTTCCGTGGTCCTATCTCGACCCTTCGCTTCAGTGCACTCTCACTCTCTCCTTGTTCCAATCTCCTGACAACATCGTCCGGATCAAACTCGGTGCCAATGGGGTTCTCTACGAAAAGAGATGATGCCATAAAATCGTTTGCCTCTTGAATTGTGTCAAAGTTGTCTACAAGGAGTTCGACGCCGTTGCCGTCTGGGTCTTTGTAATAAAGACTTGTGGTCGGGCCATGGTTGACACACCAATAAGGAGTAATGCCATTGGCCTTGTGCGTCTGGTAGGTAGACAGAAGATCAGCCAGTGTCGAGTAACAGAAGGCGACATGTTCCAAGCCTGTTGCTTGCGGTTCGGCAGTCTTCAAGCCGGGAAGCTCAACAATCGCAACGCGATGGTGATCGTCTTCGTCATCGAAGCGTAGAATGGACAGAGCCTCATTTTCGAAAGCCACGATGCAGCCCAAGAAACTGACGTAGAAGTCTACCATTACACGAAACTGGTTGGTCTTAAAGACGACATGTCCCACTCGTTTCGGGCTCTTGACGAGCCCTTGCTTTTGGCTAAAGTCCAACCCCATGTCTTAATTGGTAGTGAAAAATGTGATCAAGAACCTAGAGACAAGATTCTCCAGTTGTGAGGCTCGGCCAAAAGAAGGAAAAAAGAAGTCTGTTATTGAAGAGGCAAAGGTGACAAAGGCGATTGTCTGCTGGATGTATCGATGGCCTAGTGTCGAGCAACGAATATATATGAGCTGTATGATATATCAGTCGGAAGTTTTCGGCGAAATTCGTGCTCTCAAACTCGCCTATTCGCCCAAAGTCTGGTGACGAATAACGCCCGTGATAGTACTTATTTCTATTCTTCATTTGAGTATATCTTGGCCTAAACTCGGTCTCGGTATCGCCTTGTTCACGCACGTTCAATGTCAGATAGAGTTACAAACCTCAGACGATATCCACAGGCCCCAATCTCGGCTCCGGGCACAGCGACGAAGTCCGGCTCCATCTAACCTGGTGGACCGTGGGGTTCGTTGGTTTGACTCGCCGGCTGACACGGACTCAATCACCAAATGACGAGTGTGCGATGGAATCGTGAATTTATTGCATGATACTCCGTGATCACTTGGGCAGTTTATTCTCCTCTCGTCAACCACCTACACCACAGACAGCCCTTTCAATCCATTTCCGCATTCACGTTGTCAACATGGCGTCTCTTGTTGGGCTTGCTGAGTCGAACCTCTCATACTATTCGGTTAGCATTTCTGTTCGGAATCCGCTAGCAAGATGAAAGCCACTTACTCTACTCATAGGTTCCCTTGACTTACATACTTGCTTTCATCCCACATGTCTACGCCAATACAATTGCGGGTGACAAATATGACGTGGCCGAGCCTCGTAGGCTCCTGGATGCTGTGTCAGGCGACGAGCGTCTCGACAAAAGGGTAAGTAGTGCTTAGAACTCTTCATCGCATAGCTGACAAAGATACTTCAAGATTCGCCAGAGAATTCAACGTGCCAAAGCTGCCCACGACAATGCGACTGAGACCCTGGGTCTGTACGCTGCAGGTGTTGTAGCTGCGAACTCGGCGGGGGTTGGCAAGCCAACGCTGGATGTACTGTCTCTGACATACCTCTTTTCCAGAGCGGCATACACTCTCATCTACGTCAAATTACAGGACAATCGCAAATGGGCGCCGCTGAGAAGTCTCGTATGGATTGTTGGAATGTGTATCATATCCTCTCTATGGATCAAGGCGGGAAATGCGATGAAGTAACCGTAAATAGTACGTGTACCCGTAATCGAGAAATCTGAAGTTTGTCCCTAAGCTTTCGATTGCAAGGCTCCAAGTGTCAAACTCCGCCAGGTCATCTGTGGAGCAAGATAGACTGCTCATCCATGCCTCGGATTAAGCCTCTGCAGGCGGCTGCAAGGATCATCGGCCATAGAGCCCATGCAGCCTCCAAGCTTGCATGTTCCATGACACTGACCTCGGCCAAAAGTAAAGAACGCCTAGCTAGTCCTGTTACTTAGCCTTGAATTCACCTCATGTATCATCCCTGTCAATCACTGAACCTATTTGTGGCAACGTATTGGGAAGCCCGAGCCGATCCGACGGGAAGCTGTACGATTCAGCGGTAGATGAACCCAAAAGTTACTGCTGCGTTCTAGATCCTTTTGAAAAGTAGTATATTTAGAAGCATTTGTCCTCGTGCCTAAGTCACTCTGTTTGATTACGTATCTTACTCTTTCGCCAATCGCCTTACTCCGCCACCCGAGCTTTGATATCTTTAGTTATCATGAGTTCCCTTCTGTGGCCCAAGGCGAAACCTGCCTTCAACCGCTCCGAGCTTTTGCCTTCGATTAAGGGCAAAGTCATTCTGGTTACTGGAGGAACAAGTGGCCTGGGGCGACAGGCAGTACTTGAGTACGCGCGTTATGATCCCGAGAAGATATGGCTTGCGGCACGAAACGCCGCCGCTGCAGAGAGGACCATCAAGGAAATTCAGAACGAGGCTCCAAATGCATCCATTGAGTTCATTCATCTTGACCTCACTTCAGTTGCATCGATTCGAAAGGCGGCTCGTATAATTCGCCTGAAATCAAGCCGACTAGACATTCTCATGCTGAACGCTGGAATTGTCGCAGCACCACCCGGACTGACTGAGGACGGCTACGAAATGCAGTTCGGCACTAACTATATCGGATCTGTCCTGCTTGCGAAGCTTCTGAGTCCAACCCTTCTCGATACTGCTGAAATACCCGAAGCAGACGCCCGAATCATCTTTTTGGGCTCTCAAGCTTCCTCGATGGCTCCGACGCAGGGCATTGTCTTTGATGCTCTCAAAACAGACTTTGGTGAAGTTGGTGCATGGGCAAGATACGGTCAGAGCAAACTCGCAGTCATTTTGTATGCCCGGGAATTAGCGAAGAGACAAACCAAGATGAAGGTCTGTGTCGTTGATCCCGGCTTTGTAGATACGAACTGGGCACAGTCTTGGAAATCCTCAAGCTACATACTTGAAGCGTTGTATCCCCTTATGAGAATGGCATCAAGCAGTGTGGAGAATGGAGTTCAAAATCAGTTGTGGGCATCAGTTCATCCAGATGTCAAGAGCGGAGTATATTATCTTCCCGTGGGAAAACTGGCCGTGGGAAAGGGAAACCTGGCAAACCAAAAGCTGGCACAAAGGCTATGGGAGTGGACGGAGACAGAGCTGGAGGGGATGGACTGAAGAGAATTTAGAATTACAAGCGATGAACCAATGTTTGGAGATGATTCAGCTTCAAAACACAGATAGCCAGTAGGCACCGAACTTCGACTGAGTGCAGCTCTAGGACTGCAAGTTCATTCGAATTTAATACGGCAAAGTCTGTCAGAGAAGTATTGGAAGTCAAATTGTCCTGCCCAGCTCGTAAAGGCATAACGTGTTCTACGTATTCAGAGGTACAGAGGTTTAGTCTCACCAAATTCCAGGTACGATTCGCCACGGAACAGTTCTGCAGTAGTCCTCCCATACTGGCCCATACTTGGCCGAGCATCTTGCCTCATCCCGAATGCATCGGTGTACGAGCAAGATTGTCATGAACATCGCATAGAACCATATCAAGCACTTCGAAGACCCCACTAAAGCGCACATCGCTGTACTGAGAAGCAAGTCTCCAAAGTAGTTGGCATGACGCGACCAGCCCCACCAACCACTGCAAATAAGAAGGCTCTGATGACTCTGGCCGTCCGAAGTCTTGTAAGATGCTACCAAGACTTTTGCCGGATTCCCCCAAATGGAGCAATCGCCGTTGGAACGACGAACCCTGTCCTTTTGGCTGTTAACGGCCCGGAAGATGATGTACCCAGCGACTCCGATAGAGAACATGACGACCTGGTGAAAGGTTGAGGTTCTTGTTGGGTAGAGCCCAAGAAATTGGGTTTGAATGGTATACATGCTAGGGAGCCAAACAAAGGACCCCCAAGCTAGGTAGAAGCCGAAGTGGTCGTGAGCAATGTCAATGGTGCGCAAGTACCAGGACTCATTAACGAAGAAGTCAAGGACGTATACTGCGTGCAGAATGGTGACAAGAACAATGTTGGGATCGATCCGTCCGTGGATCTCGTACTGATATGCGATATTGGACAAATCGCTAGATTCGAGTCAGCTCGTGTGAAGCTGCGCCATTCTTCGTAGAAACCTACATAAGTGTCCATGCAATTATGCCCGGTCTGCCATTGGTGAACAGTTTCAGGTCAAAGTCGCCCCAAAGTCTTGGGTTATGCTCAATCCCCATGTAAAAGTCATAAAATATGGATCCTATTATATGTTAGTCGTTGTGTGACCACGGAAAACATGGTGACGGTTGCTTACCACTGAACTTTCGGTCATCCGCATGGGTTGGCCTGAAGTGCGCTTTGATAAAGGCCAAGACAGAAAGCAAGAGACCAGCAGCATTCATTGTGAGGACCAGGCCACCCCAGTTCTTCGGGATGAAGGCAGGATCCAAGAGGCCGAAATAGCAAAGCGCAGCGGCAAATGCATGGGTAACGAACCAGGCATTGAGCCCATTGGTACGATAGGTCAATAGATGGCCGGCAGGACTTCTCTGGCCGTCGTGTATTGGGCCTGGCAAATATCGAAACAGGATGCCTTGAAAGAGGACCCAGAGTGCAAACACGCCAGTGGACTTGAGACTGAAGCATGGCCAATTTGACCATACGACAGAAATCAATCCATCTTGCAAAGCAGCCTTCAGAAAGTCGGACAGAGAGCCTTGGAATGCAGAAATAGCTACGGTCGTGGAGATGACCAAGGTCGGCGCAAGCATCACAAGAAGCAGTGAGCCGACTGAGCGCATCCAGGATCCTCGACTTGATCTACCCCATGTTGGCCGTTGTGCGGGCTCAAGCTGAAGCCGAGATCGGGAGTAACCTTTTCTCATCCTCACGAAAGTAGACTCAGGCGCCAAGGGAACATCTAGAGACTCCATCTTGATTGTCGGCGATGTCGAAAGAAACGAAAAAGAAAAAACGCGAACAGATGTGTAAAAATGCGAAAGGAGCGACTTCCTGAACTTCGTGATGGTACAGATGCTGAATGCTCGAAGAAGTCTAATAATCTTTCGTGTTGAGATGTATATATGTTATCAACACTTGCCCTCGAGTCACGTAGTCATCAATTATCATGGCGCCTCGGCATTGAATGCTACCAAATTGGGCCGTCTCGATCGGAGAATCTTGCCAACAGCCCGCCTCGCTCTGAGACTGTAACGTTGTGGATGCTAATAACCTAGCTTGGCGCTCTCGGAGGCTCAGCAGGAGGCTGATCAAGACTGATGGAGCATGGGCCCAGGGTAGTGTGCAAAAGTGGGATCAGGTGTTTGGCATAGCGTCGCTCCCTAGTCCTCGGAGCACATGAATCGGGTCATCCCATACACGGCACGCGGAGAACTGGTCATGTCCCCGTTTCTTCCTCTGAGTCTGTCTCGGATTCATTCGTGCGGAGATCGGCAAAGGCATGCGGGTTCTAGATCTTGTAGGAAATAAGGTTTGCGGTCCGCGCGCGGTACTCACAAAACGTTATCTCACGCCGGTCAGGTTTGAAACCGAAAGCGACTATGTGACTCGGCGACAGCAATTCGGCCGACTCAGCCTAGAGTTCCCGTAGCAATGTGGGATCGCTTTCAGCCCAGAACATGATAATAATAATATAGGAATTAGACTTCTCATGCAAATTGATGTACTCTTAGCTTCAAGTGAACATCCGTGGCTCACAAAATCCATGATTGGCAGTGGTCAGACGGGCGTACTATTGAGCTGGCGCGATGACTTTTGGCGGAGTTGGGTTTCGGCAACATTGTAGTTGGATAGAAATGTCAGAAACCAGTGACTATATTCGAAGTGAACGACTGAACCTGGAAGTTGTGATACTCTTATCTACATGTTATCTGTAGTCTGAAGGTTGACGTAGCAATCTTTGGGTTCTACAGTTATGCTCTCCCTGAGCTCATAGGTGCTAAGATTGTCGGCGCATGGCTTGAAAGCAAAATTCCACACAAGCAACGCAAGAACCATGCGTAACTCAAGATAGGCGAGACGTCTACCAAAACATCCTCTTGGTCCACCGCCAAATGTCAGGATTGGCCCAGCTTGAGGATCAAAATCAAAATCAGACAAAGTCCAGCCGTCTTCTTTTCCGACGCTTTCTTCGCTGAACCCGCTCGCTCCCGTCTTTGGTACAAGCCAGCGCCCAGCACAGAACTTTCCTACATTGTCGGAAAGCCAGTCTGGGACTCGCTTGGCTTCTTGCGAAGTCCTACTTCTCACTTGTTCGTCAACGCCCAGAGACGGCTGAACATAGCTCGCCCCTTGTGTGAAGATGAAGATTGTGGTACCTTTCGGCACGAACTTCCCCATCACGATAGTATCAGTAACAGCCTCGCGTGTTAGAATTGAAGCTGTCCGTGAGAGTCGTAAAATCTCTTCCAGGAAGGCATCAAGATACGGAGCTGCAACCTTTGTGAGTTCGGTTACACTTGGCTGTCTCCTCTCTTTGACAGCAGCTGGATAAACTGCCTGGAGGTGTTTGCGCAATGTATGCTGTTGTTTCTGATTGTCGGCTAGAAACTTCACAGCCCAAGATAAGATGGACGCAGACGTTTCATGACCCGCGACAATGTATCCAAGCAACTGTTGTGAAGTCAGCATTGTTTTCTCGTCTAAGGGGACATCAGAAAGTTTACCTCGTCTTCCAATCTCTTTGAAGTGAATGAGGGTTTGCGTCCAGACTTCTTGGCTGCTGTCACTTCTCGTAGGATGATGAAGTCTAAAGCTGATTTGGCTGCCTTCTCTCCTTGGAGCCATTTGTCGCTCAGCGATGCTACTGCCTTTTGAATCTGGCTCCTGATGAAGTAGTCCTTCTTCACAAATACACTGCTCACACTCGTAAAAGTCTTCAACAGCCATGCAAACTGTTTTGGGAAGGGCGACGTGACAACACTGCCCATAAAGTGGGTGATATCAACAGTAGCCTGGTACTCAGTAGGAAGCCCAAGACTCTTGAAGCATGCGGGCTCTTTCAGATCTGTTGGCACTAGGAAGGGCCTATAGCCCGTTTCCTGGAGTATGTGCTGCCGGAGAACACCGCCATTGCTTGTCTCGCCAAATGCAGCAGACATGATGATGTCTAAAGCAGCGTTCTGGAGATCGTGATGGGCTTCGAACGGACGGCCTGCGGCCCATTTGCTCTTCACACTCCACAGCTCTATGAGAGATAGCGCTTTGCTATAAATCTCGGGCGCAGAAACCTAAGTAGCCAAATTTAGCTGAGAAAAGCTTTCTTGACTGAAGCCGACAGAAAGACTAACCTCGTTTAAGAATCCTGGGGCCATCAAATCCTTCACCAAGTCCTTGTTGCCTTTGAACCTGGCGTCAGTTGACAACATCGAAAGATGATGCTCAGGTAAAATGGTCGACATAGTTTCTGCATCCCTTCGGCAACGGTCGAACTCCTTTGTTCGCCGTGCTACAATGTCGTAACTTTCACGATAGTCAAACAGAACTACACATGGCGGTGTAAATGGGCCCAGAAAGACCTGAACCATTGGTGACCTATGTTTCTGAGCCAGGTCGCGCATCCACACAGTAAAGCCTTTCCCGTGGTTTCTTGCATGCTGGAAAGCAGGGAGGTCACCCAAGAAGCTTTTCAGAGCGCTCTCGTTGTATGGAATCCCAGTGAGAGGTCTTGGGAAGCCTTTCAAGTAGATGTAATAGAGAAGCGTAGAGGTGAGGAGTATCAACGCCGGGATGGGCGCCTGCAGCACGATAGAAGCCGCATGATAGAGATGTTTGATCATGTTGAGAACTTTGCGGGATGGAGCTGACGAGTAGGATTGATCCCACGGAAAATCATAGACCACGGTCAGATAGACTGCATCGAAGGGAATCGCAACAAGTGTGATTTCTAGCGAACGAGATAAATTTTAGCTTGCTTAAGGGAGGCTGAGCATATTCCTGTTGATCCTCGGACCCTGTCCCTACAATGATCGGTTTCGAGACGACCTAAATTGTGGCTAGTAGCGACAATACATAGCAATCTTGGCAATGAATCACATATACACTACAATCCGTACGTGTAAACACTGTCCGGAATACAGGCCAGGCTGGAAAATACGGGAGGACCGTGCTGTGCATGATGATTCTTATGGTCCTTCCGCCACACCGGTCCGAGACCGAAGTTGTCACGAGCCATCATGGCACGTAGCAATGGGTATGAGAGGTGTTCAAAGCTGGCTTGTATTACTACAGTCCCAATACATAATGGGAAAGGTCAATATAGGTAGGAAATGTAAGTTAGATCTCGTGCTAGCGCATGTGATAGTCGCTTCGAGAAAGGCCGGGTTCATCCCTGTTCTATGAAAGGAAGTAGATATCCAAACTCTATCCGCCTGACAATTAAGTTCCTTCGATAACAAGGTACCTAGAGACTGATTCTAGTGAAAATTGGAGAGGAGATTCCACTGCTTCAACAAATTCGGATGAAATGGCAGAAGTCCGGATGCATCCAATCCGAGCCTTTGCTGGGGATAGAACCACGTTGGGGTCGACCAGACAAGGAACACAAGAACCCATAGGTATCCGAAAAAGACCCGAACTCTGGACGCCGAACGACACAATGGCACTTGTTTCGAGATAGCCTGGATAGCATCTTCAGCGATGATTCCAATCGGCTGCAACAAGAAGAAGGTAAAAGCACCGGCGTTCTCTGCTGTCATTCCCATTGCCATGTCAGAAGTATGATGAATCAGACCAGAAATGAAAAAAGAGATAAAGATACGAAGGTATCTAGAAACCAGTCTTTGCCGAAATGGGAAAATGTGGTGTTCAATGACATCGGCATGGCCTGTGAGCCCACTACGCAGACATTGATGCCATGCGGTTCTGAGTGGAAGACTGTCAGCAAATAGACTGGAACGAGATTGTAGCGTTCGACTTACCCCCAGAAGCCCCTAATGGTTGAGGCAGATGAGAAATCCCCATAGAGTGGAGGACAGTCCTCGACCTTGCATAGAAAAACGACAACGAATCCGAGGCAAGCAATTTCGAACATGAGTAGGTTTATGAGAGCCGTGCAGGCCCAGAACGACAGGGTCCCAATGATGCGGAAAGTGATGTCCGCTTGCGACAGCCTGACGAGACCCTGAAACGCCAGCGCTTGTTTGTCGCGACCGACAAAATTCGGGTCCGGAGGCGGGGCCTGCGTCATGAGGCTAAGCACCTGGTAGGCAACCAGGATCTTGAGAGATCGTTTCAAGATGAATGCGACCCGGCTCTCTGGGGGGTGTGGAGACCGTTGTTGTAATCCAGGAACATTTCTGACCTGCCACCTCGTGCCGATTCGTCTGAGCTTCCAAAGCAGCATCAGAGATTCGTACGTTCGGGCCGCGGGAGAGGCGGAAGATGGGGCGAACCCAGCTATGCTCTCGGTGCGGGCATCCGGTTCCCAGCTGCCATCCCACCTTCTGACTAGGACAAGCTCAGAAGCACTCATGAACTGAATCCATAAAAGTGGAACGATCGCGGAACGCCAGTGAGGATTGGCGATCCACTCACAAGACGCGAGCTGGAGCGCGTAAGTCAAGCTCGCGAGAGCCAAGACTCCGGTCAGCCGGATGAAGGACTTTGACGCAGGAACAGAGAAAGTGATGAGCAGAAATGTAATCAAGAACGTAACAAATAACGACCCATTGACTGCCGCACCACCCGGGTCAGATTTGATGAGCATTGTTGCGAAAAGAGGAGTGCATATATCTTGGCGTATGACAAGGATCGGAAGCACTGGCGTGGAAATGGTACTGGCAGGCAATGAGAGATGCTTCTTGTAACATCGGGCATACTTTTCAAAAAGAGACTCATGGAGGCAATAAATAGAAGTTTGCAGCATTGTGTGCTCATAAGACCGCTTCTTTGGAGCTGACACGGCACTCCGGTGGCGGACTTGTACCTGTTCTCGGTAGCTAGGATGAGGGACCGACCCCTGGCAAGGATACGGTCATTATAATCCTTGACCACACACAGACGGCTACACTAGTCATTTCGACTTATGCATAGATGTCGAGAGCAATATATGGGTAGCTAGAAGCCTACGAGTTCCACATTATCGAACCGAGTCCGAAGGGAAGATGTAAATAGTATCATGACTGTACCGCGGAAGGTCTGCGATCTCAATGTTATAGCTCCTTACTCTTCAATCTTACGCCATACTCGTTGCTTTACCAGGCTGAAGACGTATACATCATGATGATAGACGCTACTGAGCTGAGCCGGTTGTTAGTTGCTCTAGCTTTTCTCCCTACAGCAGCATTTCTTCTCTTACGCTTGGTTGAATACTTGGCCCTTAGACCGGGACCAAAAGAGCCTCCTCTGGTTAATGCTTCGGTCCCGTTCATAGGTTATATACTTGGGCTTCTGAGATATGGAGTGTCATATTACATCTATCTGAGGTAAGTGAGTACAGATGGGGCACTAAAACCCTTGATCTTGTTAAAGTATGTTTTTCTCGACAGATTGTTGACTTTACAAGCAGATCATCGACCAAACTTCCAATCCTGACTGTGTATTTGGCCTCTCAGAAGACGTACATCGTCAACTCACCAGAACTTATTGCCTTGATATCTCGTCGCTCTAAAGAGGTTGATGGCAATGTTCCCTTCGTCACCATCGTCTATGGGAAACTATTTGCTTTTTCTCAGACCGACATCTCGGAGTTGCTGAGAAACCCGTTGCAAAAAGGTTCGCTAAGACAGGAAGCCCACGTAATGGAGCATTCACTTCTCTCTCCGGGTTCTCTCTCTCTGAAGGAGGTTTACGACGAGATTTTCAACGGCCTAGCAAACCATGTCAACAGCATCAGCGAAGGTCCAAGAACCATTGCTCTCCAGAGTTGGCTCCAAGAGATCTTCGCACTGTCGACTGCAAAGGCCCTTCACGGACCAGACGGCCCTTTTGCTAACAACAAAGAGTTGCTGCAGGCATTTTGGTATAGACCCATGTCTTTTCCTCACCAGAACGTCTATTGACTTTTTCACAGGGACTTTGAGAATGGCCTCAAGGCTTTGACGATGGGTGTTTTTCCCACCATCACGGCTACGAAACCAGCAGCGGCACGTCAAAAAATCGTCGATGCTTTTTTGGAATACTTTGGCGACTCATTTCCCGAAGATACTGCATCTGAATTGATTCGGCGTACACGCAGGCTTGCACTGGACCACAGTAGAGGGACTGAGTTCATTGCTCGCTATGGTCTTGGCCTCATGACCGGATTCCTGATCAACACAGTCCCTGCTGTCTTTTGGATCATCTTGCGTATTGCCAGAGATAAAGAACTGCTGAAAAAGGTTCGCCTGGAGCTTTCTCTGATCATTCAGCCATGCGCACATGATGAGGAATTCTCCACACTTGATGTCGCCGCTATTCGTAAACGCTGCCCGCTTCTCATGTCCATTTGCCATGAGACTCTGCGATGCATCAGTTCTTCGACTGGCACCTTTCTGGTTCACCAGGATGTTGAAATAGGCGACGAATATGTCCTGAAGAAAGGAGCCATAGTCCAAATGGCAGCAACGGCGATTCACTCGAATCCAGATGTTTGGGGTGCTGATGCCGGCGCATTCGAGCCGGGAAGGTTCTTGAGGCCGAGCAAGGTACACCCAGCAGCAAACCGGACATTTGGAGGAGGCAGCACTTTGTGCCCCGGAAGGCACCTTGCAGTGGACGAGATGATTACATTCACGGCGATGTTTCTCTCTACGTTTGACGTAACTTTCCCTGATGGCGCAGATGGTCTACCCAAAGAGGACGATACGAATATGCTGTCGGTGAAAAAGCCTAATTCGGATGTATTGGTGGAAATCCGAACACGGCCGGAGACCAAGCATCGGAAATGGTGCTTTTCCACTGAGACATTGAAAGCGTAGTCTAAAACATCGGATTTTGATGTTTTTTCTTTCCTTCCGCAAAGCATATAGAAAACTTAGAAGAATGAGCATTTCCGCTGCCAACCCTGGTCATAATCTCCATGCTTTAGTGATCCGCCTCCAGGCGTCAAGTTGACTCCATGTCAGGTGAGCGCTAGCGGTGAGCAATCCATTTGTTAAAACCTGTCGTACGAGCTTTTGGGTCCTGGTCCCTGTCTGAAAGTTGAGAGCTTAATACAGATCGCAGTATGACGAGAGTGACTTGAAATGATACCATGGGCTGAAACTCCGTGGAAGCCGTGGGTAGCGGGTCAGAAGGGGGACTGACCATGTGGTAGCTGCTCACCTAGACTGACTCTTCGTAGCTAAGCCGATTAAGTCGCTCTCGCTCTCGGATGTTTCCGCCCTCGGCGAACAGGGCCATTCTGAAATCCGTGGTCTTGCAGCTATGCGCTCTCACTCGACTTGCTCGATATCGCAAGACTAGGGTAAACAGGCTTCCGAATCGTTCTCGGGCGCCTGCGTCTTCTCTACCCAGTTACAACGCACAAGCTTCTTTCCTATTTTCAAGATGTCCTTTCTATCACGTTGTGCGCACGTCTACAACTAACCTTTCTTTTTTCCCCCCCTCTTCGCTTCACGCAAGCATCATTTCATCATTTCATCATTGTGTCTATCATAATGATCATGTTGGTCAATGACAGCAGTTCGGCCACTGCGCTGCTGTTCTTTTCAACTGACGCGCTTTGCAACCAAGCGCTGGGCTATTTCCGAGCTAGCTATGTGTACTCTTTCTCGAGTATAGTGGCTGGCTTGATCTTGTTGCTGACGTTTCACGGAGCCTTCAGAAGAAAAGACACTATTCCGATGGTAAACGCTCCCAGATTCTGGGAGCCTCGGTTGTTGGTTCAGTTATCATTTCTCTTCAATGCCAGAAACCTCGTGTCCAAAGGCTTGAAACTGAATCGAGCGTTCCGCATCCTGACCGATATAGGCGTCATCACAGTGGTTCCCTCAGAGTTTGCAAATGAAATCCGGACAGACTCGCGGCTAAGTTATCCACAAGTAATTACTGAGGTATGTATGACAGCGTATTTCACACTCATAGGTCTTAAACTAATACGAGACTCGGATTTGTAGAATTTTCATGCTCGGTTCCCCGGCTTCGAGGGTTTCCGGGAAGGCACAACCGATGCGGCACTAAGTCGCGATATTGCCAGAAAGCATCTCACACACTCTTTAGGTATGAACATGCTCATTTGCTGAAGAGAGCATTGTATTTTGACTAACGTTGGCCATGGCAGATAAAGTTACAGGAGCTCTAGCAGAGGAATGCGCGGTTGCATTGAAAGATCACTTCCCAGATGCAAAAAGTATGCCTGAATGAAGAAATTATACTGCCAATAGCCGTGGTCTAACATCTGTAGTAGACTGGACAGAGATCAATCTTCGTGACCATGTCCTGAAGCTTGTAGCACGTCTTTCCTCTCGCGTCTTCCTAGGAGAAGAGATCACGAGGAATGACGATTGGATAAAAGTCACCACTGAATACACAACCGATGCTTACGTTGCGGCCAAAATCCTTCGTTTATGGCCGGCCAAGCTTCGCCCGTTGGTTCACTGGATACTGCCATGTTGTATCAAGCTCCGCCGACATGTTTTCAAGGCGAGGAGTATTATCATAGCTGCCATTGAGCGGCGTCGCCTGGTAAAAGAAGCCGCTATCAAGTCTGGCAAGCCTATTCCAGTTTTCAACGACGTGATTGAGTGGCTTGAACAAGATACCAAAGACACGACAAGCGATTACGATCCTGTTGTTGCGCAACTCATTTTGTCACAAGCCGCAATCCACACCACAACAGACTTGCTCACCCAAGCCATTCTTGAGATTGCAGCCACTCCGGAAGTCGTCGAACCTTTACGAGATGAGATCAATGACGCCGCTAATAGATTGGGATGGAGCAAGGCGGCGTTTCACGAGATGAAGCTCCTTGACAGCGTGCTGAAGGAGAGCCAGCGCCGGAAGCCCCTTGCCATGAGTGAGTTAAAATAGTCACGATTTCTTAGACGACGCACTTAAAGCTAACGCGCAATTGATAGCGTTCATGCATAGGCTTGTCTTGGAAGACACAACTCTATCTAATGGCGACACAATACCCAAGGGGAGCGTCATTGGTGTTTCTGCAGACAAGCTATGGGATCCGAACGTGCATGAAAACCCTGAGAGATTCGATGGTTATCGTTTTGTCCGCATGCGAGAGAGCGGTGATAGTAAGGTCGCAAATCAGGCGCATCTTGTGAGCACAAGCCCGAATCATCTTGCGTTTGGCTACGGGAAGCACGCGTGTGCTGGCCGCTTTTTCGCCGCACACGAATCCAAGATGGCGCTCTCAAACATTTTGCTGAGATACGACTGGAAGCTAGCACCGGTCTCAGCCAACGAAACGCCTCTTGAGTTTGGTTTAGTGCTTGTTGCCAATCCAAAGGCAAGGATCTCAATGCGATTGAGACAGCGTTCATAGTTGTCGAGCTGCATGACACATTGGACCACCCCCCATATGCACAGACAATATTAAGCCTCATATTTCGTATCTGAGAAACAGCCGCCAATCAAGGAGTCCCAAAAATCTTGTGTTTCTCACCCGCGTGGCCAGATTGAAGCCCACATCTCAACGAAATGTTAAAACGGACGTCTGGAAACTAGATATGTGGACTAGGTATTTGACTGTGCACCCCAGTCACACCAAGATGCTAGTCAACTTGAGTCAGAGTCGCCCTGCGCTGATCCATGTCGGAAACAAGATATATTAAGAGAAGCGGCAATAGGTAGTCATAGGTGCGGATCTTATAGCCAAGCCTTCGGAAACTCAATCTGACCTGAAGTGAGGCAATGGCTAGAACGCGGGCGGTAGTTCAAGTCAGAGTCGCGTATCACAAAATCTCAGCCCCGACGTAACATGACTAAGGTCACCTCGCCGAATGCGAGAGCGAATCTTCTGCTTGGCAGATGAATACGACGTTTGCAAATCGCATGATGGATAATACAGCACTGTGCTTTTTTATCGGTGAAATCAACAATTCGTCTTTGGCTTGGCTAGAAAATTGTTACCCGATTTCAGAGAAAGTGTACTAAGTGTCTATCTAACCTGCTTATTCCTCGCTCAAAGGTGTACCTATTATAAGTTATTTCTGCCTGATAGACATCCCTATCAATTATCGTTGGTTGCCTTCCTAGATCGTTTGGATATCTAACCACTGGCGGCTTTGATGATGCCTGAGTCACTTGTCAACACCTCTACCACAGACCAGGGACAGTCAACACAATTGTATGGTTCTGCTCTTGTTCGGATCTTCAGCTATGTTGTTCTCGCGCTATTTCCGCTTATCGCCCTGGCGATCAGCAGAATCTCCACGCCTAGCTTGGATCCGAGGGAGCCACCACTCCTGAAGCCGACGATACCTGTTGTGGGACACCTCGTCAACATGCTCTACAAGGGCGGCAAGTACTATCTAGAGATGTACGAGTCTTCTCAGGGAAAGCTTTCGACAGCCACGCTCAGCATCTTTGGCCAAAAGGTCTATCTAATTGCCTCTCCCTCTCTGGCACAGGCAGCTCTCCGCAACCGTCTTCTTTCCTTTGACCCTTTCGTTGTCCAGGCGAGCGATGGCCTGGTCAGACTCAGCGCAAAGGCAAAAGAGCTTTTCGTGGACGGCACACTGCTCCATGCCTTCTCCACGACGGTATCATCAGCAACTTCACCAGAACCTATGCGACGTATGACGGTTACGGCACTTGCGGCGTTTACTGATGATCTCAATGCGCTAGCAGCCGGACCTGACCATCAGCAAGAGATCCAGCACTTGTATCACTTTCTCAGAAATCGGATCGCCATGGCCGCAACAGATTCGCTTTACGGCATAAAAACAAATCCATTTAGACATGACCCTCGTCTGGTCGATGATATCTGGTGCGTTGATTCAGGCCCCCGTACAGTTTCAGTTCTAACAGATCATAGGACATTTGATGATGCATTGACCTATCTTTTCCCTAACATTAAGCCTGAGTGGATAGCACCAGCTGGCAATTCTGCTCGAGAGCGACTTCAACATGTTCTCGTCAACTATTACAAGCAATTTCCCGACGAACCGTCATTCCCACCAGATGTCGCAGAGTTTACAAAGCTTCGGGCACGCATCATTCGCAACTCTGGCCTCAGCGACACTGACCTGGGCCGACTTGAGGTAGGCATGGTGGTAGCCGCAACGACCAATAGTGCCCCAATGTTCTTTTGGTTTTTGATCAGCGTCATGTCTCGACCGCAAATTCTCGCCAAAGTCAGAGAAGAGGTTGAGCCACTGGTGACCTTCAGAAAGGAAGACATCAGTGGGCCCAGTGGAGCTGCAATAAAAGTAGTCGCAACTTTTCGTACCTCTCAGTTGACCGATTCAATCATCTGCCCCTACATCACTGCGGCACATCGTGAGACCTTGCGTCTCTTCGACTCTAATACAGCAACACGGCACGTTCTAGACGACACGACACTTCCTGACGGAACTCTGCTCCGTGCTGGAGGCATTTGTCATATTCCCGCCGGTGTTGGACACCGCATCCCAGAAGCGTGGGGCGAAAGGGACCCAAATGAGTTTGCGCCTGAACGATGGCTCGAGCACCAAGTACGCATGTCGGGGTCAAGCGGTATCACGCAGAAGATGGCCTTTTGGCCTTTTGGTGGCGGCAAACACCTGTGCCCTGGTCGCAACTTCGCCATTAACGAGAACATCACCCTTCTCGCGGCATTGGTCACAGGATTTGACTGCGATGGTCTCGTTGTTCCTGAGTGCCCTATCGCAAATCTCACGGGTCAAAGTGTCCCACCGCCAAAGAAGCAAGTGAAGGCCACGTTCAAAAGACGAGAGGGTTGGGAAAACGTCGTATGGAAGCTGGAATATTAGAGGCTCAATAACGAATGAGTAGTGAGAGTAGATTGTATACTTCATGCTCTTGAACAGTGTTCTTACTCAGATGCAGCCTCAACTTACATATTGGCAATGTCTTCCTTGCTTTCCTGACGACGCTAAGACCTGCTCTTTAAGGCAGTAGTAAGTCTAGATATGTCACGCTTTTAGGCTACAACAATTGTAGGCTCATTTAACACGTCTTTTCACTGCAGTCTACTCAAATTCACTTGGAGAGCTTTGAGCGGCTAGATTACTTTGAGGATCCCAGGCGAGCAACTTTGATGGGAAGCCCGACCATCTTTTGATCCTAGCGATTAACGCTACTTTATTACCGATATTGATACATTATTGTATTGAGATATTAAGCTATGAAATGCTCGCTCTACGAACGAATGGTGATGGGCGTCCATTGGACAATAGTAAGTGGATAGAATGCTTACGATTAGCAACAAGCGAAGGTCACAACTATCATTGGAGTTGTGGATAACATAGAGACCTAGAAAGTTATCCCGGGCTCTGTACACTGGACGATTTTTCACATTGTGCACAGGTATCGCACACGTTACGCGACGAGTCAAGACTGAGCCTAGGTATTAGAAAGAGACTTGGCCTTCACCTGCCCCGTGGGAAGTCCAGGGGCAGGTAAAACATACATTTTTGGATGCGGCTTTGGAAGTTCATACCCACTTCATACTCGGGCTCGGTTTCGGGCCCATTGCCGTTAACTTTGTCGTGCCGTTTTGCCAGTACTTAACAACAACCTCTACTTCAGAACATGTTCTCTACCACTCACAGTGTGTGTCGACTCTTCCAACAATTCATTAGCCATGCAATTTCCTTCCACCAACATAGGTTTGCTACCCTTAGATATGTTCCATTCACATTTTACAGTCGCACAAGCCACGCTTGCTGTAGCCATCTTAGTACGTCAGTCACAACGACCCCGGCCGTGGCCGTCACAGCAGTTTTAACCCCAACTCTTAGTTCTCTATCCATCGCGTTGCAGTCATCATCTATCGCATCTATTTTCATCCCCTTCGCCGTTATCCCGGACCGAAACTCGCAGCAGTCACAAAGCTTTATCGACTCTACGTCACAGTCATAGGGGATGGTGCCATCGCTCCCAAACGGCTCCATGATCAATATGGTCTTATTGTTCGGATTGGACCAGATGAGCTCAGCTACATTGATCACCGGGCATGGAAGGATATTCATGGCTTCCACAAGTCCGGGCAAGACCTCTTCGAAAAGGACTTGGTGATGTATGGACCAGATATTGCGCCTAATGTTCGGGGTCTGATCCGCGCCAACGACTCAGGGCACAGGCGCCAACGGCGGATATTCAGCCATGCATTCTCAGACAAAGCACTTCGTGGGCAGCAAGACCTCATTCGAGGCTATGTGGATATGCTGGTTGAAAAAATCCACCAGGTGCACCGGGTGGCCACGTGTCAGGGAGACAAGTCGGTGGAAGTGACTCGTCTGTACACTTTTACAACCTTCGATATTATGGCGGACTTGACCTTTGGAAAACCCTTGGGGATGCTCAGTGGTGAGAGCTTCGTGCCCTGGGTTTCGGTTATCGAAGAATCACTTAAGTACTCGGGATACACCTTACTCCTTCGTGCATACCCAATTCTCGAGACGTTCTTCACGCGTTTGATACCCAAGAGAATAAAGGCAATGAGAGATGAGCACATCAACTTCGCCGTCAAGCGGGTTGACGAACGCCTGGAGCAAGGCGCCGACAGGGGCGATATCTGGAGCTTAGTTGAGCGTAACGAGGAGCAGAACAACATAACTCGAGAAGAGATGTACTCTAGTTCGTACGAGTTCCTCATCGCAGGATCTGAGACAACGGCAAGTCTTCTCAGTGGGTTGACTTACTTCCTCTGCAAAAACGAAAGCAAGATGAAGATTTTGCTCAAGGAGATTCGCAGCCTGAAAAGAGACGAGCTTACGATTTCCAAGCTCCAAGGTTTGAAGTACCTCCAAGCCTGCATAGACGAGGCTATTAGGCTCTATCCTCCTGTTGCTGGAGCACTGGGGCGCGTGAAGCGAGTCTGCGGGGCGAATATCTGCGGTCAATGGGTTCCAGAGGGGGTGAGTCATCGATGCCGCGTGTATCCGTACTGCATATGGAGACGCGACTGCTGACCGAGTGGCAGACCACGGTAGGAATACCTCATATGGCAGCATATCATTCTGCAAAACACTTTAGTTTTCCAATGGAGTTTATGCCAGAGCGTTGGCTTACGAACGCTCCTTCTAAATTTTCAGACGACAACAAGGAGGTTTTCCAGCCTTTTCTCTACGGGCCGAGGAATTGTCTCGGAAAGAGGTATTTGACCTAGTTCATATCTCTAGTCTCTTCGACTTAAAATGCTGACTGAAATAGTCTGGCTTATCACGAAGTTCGATTGATCATCGCTTCAATTTTGTGGGACTTTGATGTCGAGCTGGAAAACAAGGAGGTGGATTGGCTGAAACAAAAATGGTATGGATTCTTTGAAAAGAATCAGCTGCGTGTGAAGATGACACCAGCTGTATGATCAGATGTGCATCAAGTTTACCCATTATACTTCATCATACTGGTTGATCCATGTGGAGGGTTGTTGAGTAGTCTGACGTTACGCACGGGAATCCACCATATGGCTCTCTGACCGAAACAATGTTTTGACCAGAACGCGACAACTCTAGGTTGTTTTATATGCACTTGTTTTCACTCACACAATCGCACCTCCCCTAATCTAATGCTCAACCGATTGCCTCCTTCAGTCTCTTGCCGATCACCTTTCCGTGGCGCGGCGTCAGAAGCAGTAATAGAACCAACGGAAATGACGAGTTGGTGTAGCCGGGGGACGTAGCAGCAGGAGGAGTTATCTCAAATTATATAACTAACAGTTTTCATATTAAAATTACTACGTTGAATTAAAAACGTATCCAGAGTACAGTGTATATACTGCATATGATAGTTACCTAAGACAATATGCTCTATCACATAATTCTTCTGAAAGGACCTAATCTATCAAGGTCAACTTTCAATATTTATAAGACCGAAAAAGATAGAACCACTACATTTGCATGTATGAACATTTATTTATTTTAAGAAGCCTTTAATTATTTCGGTCTCGATAGCAGTGGCCTCGTTACCGTTACCGTTACCTCAGTCTTTATGCGCTCGTTTATCTCGCTTACCCCCACTCACCCTAGCTTGCTACGTGAGAAGCGGCGAGGGATCTAGGGGCAATTGGGCGTCATATTGGCATAACGTTCGAGAAAGCTGTTTGATGGTGAATGCGTAAAGAATTTGACTTCTGTAATAATACCACCACAAGTCTGCAGTTGGTCAAAAGCCATTCAACAGAGCAACCGTTGTGATCTTATTTTGTACGATTGAAAGAGAACAATCCAAAACGAGACCAGACGGAACCGACCACACTGCGATGCTGTTAATCCTCTCGGCTTCAAAATAAGATACTCGTTCGCGTCATCGCCATTGACAACTCAATGATATTCACCAACCCGATAACATGACCCCCACCCATGCGAGACCGAACTATAAAGTCCCGAGTCCACGGACATTACCCACACAGCAGAGCCATGCTGGTATTGCAATTTGACTTTCTCGTTCTCAGATATCATATTCGAGAATTCGCATTGCGGATAGCCCGGACAAACCACTTGCCCCCCACTTATGTGATCAGTTAGGTATAGATATGTGATAGGGAATAGCGGGCTCCATAGTAGTACGTGATGAAATCTGCTCAATGAGGTAGTCCCGATGAATCGAGAGCTACTTGCTTGCGAATTTTTTCAGCACAGGTGTTGCCTCTTACGGGCCCCTTCGGAGCCTTCTGCCGAGGTTCTCTCGTTCTCTCGTTCTCTGACATAAGACTTCAATCTCAATGATCACCTGTCGCTTCTGCAATAACTCTTCTAAATCTAGCATGACGTCTACTATGACCCCTTTCAAGAGACTTCTTCAGGATTCTTTGCAGGACGACGTGTTCTCTTCGCTGATACTCTTCGCCAAACGTCTTGATGGTTAGATAATCAAACTCGGACCCTGACCCTCCTTCGCAGCTAACACAATGATAGGATCCGATATCGTATCCGAATGCCTAGGCGGGCCATCGCCATCATGGCCCAATCAAGCCCCCATCGACAAAGACACCGTCTTTACGCTAGCTTCCTGCTCGAAGCTCCCACTCACAGTAGCCGTATTACAGCTTGTAGAGAAACGGCTCCTCGCACTAGACACAGATGTGAGCTCCATGCTCCCAGTTCTGGGACGTCAGAAAGTCCTGGCTGGCTGGCAGCCAGACGGCTCACCCATTCTCAACGAGCGTCGCAACCCAATAACCCTTCGCCACCTTTTGACACACTCCGCTGGCACGAGCTACTACTTCCAAAACAAAGACCTAAAACGGCTTCGAAGTCTCAGAGGAAACCTCCCAGCTACCTTGGAGCCCACTATTGAAGAGCGTTACGACGACCCGCTCCTCTTCGAACCGGGCGAGGGTTGGGACTATGGTTGTGGGCCAGATTGGGCGGGCAAACTGATAGAGCAGCTCACCGGAATGTCTCTGGAAAAATACCTGATACTACACGTGTGGGCACCCCTGGGAGCATCTAGCTTCACCTTCTGGCCAAACGCAGAGGGGAAAGGTCACAAGGTCGCCACCCTCACGGAAAGAAACGTAACTACCGGGAGACTCGAGGTGCATCCTGATGTCCTGACCTTGAATCAAGGAGTGGACATGGAGTGCTTCGGAGGCCATGGGGCTTACTGCAGCGCAGGAGACTACATGGAGCTCATCTTTTCCATCTTCAGCAACGACAGGCGTGTGCTCAAGCCCGATTCTGTGGAGATGATGTTTCAGGCCAACTTGTCGGACCAAAGCAGAGCAGCTCTGCAAGCTGACTTCGACAGGCGAAAACTTACCATTGGCGACTTCTACCGCGGCGAGGTCTACAATTGGGGATTGGGAGGAATGTTGATCGACGGCCGTCGTTCCGAGGCGGAGTGCCCCCGGGGACCAAATACTTTGGCATGGGGTGGTGGAACGAACCAATTTTGGGTCCGCTTTTTGCCCTCTCCCCTTTCAACTTTGTCTGCTAAACATAAATTACAGTTTATTGATCGAACCAACGGCTTCTGTGGTCTCATCATGTCTCACGTCCTCCCACCTCAAGACCCTCAGATCGAGGAAATCATTGGCGCATTTCAACGACATGTGTACACGTCAAACAATGATTATGGTTTCCGAAGCTTTTTGTGATATGGCTATGGAATCGCAATACTCAATCCCGGCCCATGTTTCTAGCAGAGAGCTGTGAGACGGGAACCGGTCCTCGACATGTAGAGTTTTTCACGAGAGTGATACGAGGATAGACAAAGGCCACCAAACAGCGAATCTGAATATCATACTATCTTACAGGAGGGTATTATATAGATTCTACGGGGCACTGTATACGGTCATGTAATTCTAGCGCGGTGTAGTCGCCTTTCGCCTCACTTGAGGACATCACGGCGTAAAATGGGACAAACAAACAAACAAATACGAGAATGAAATCAAGCTACATGTGTGAGTTAGTTATCGGTGCTACGGCCGGTGGACACTCATGACCTTACTCCTTATGCGTGCATGTCTCGCCAATCCCCTGTTGCAGCAATGAGAACTTTGAGAACCAACACACAGCTGGTCTACACCACGAAGTGAAACAAAACTCAAAGCGTGAGATGGCAGGCTTGCTTAGCTCACAGTTGGAGGCGGGCCATTGACAGTGACGAGTATATATTCAAGCTAAGGTACTGATTTCTTTCTCCCGTACAAAAGCCATATCCTGGCCGCCTGTCCTGAACAAGGAGAAGGATCGACGTCCGTCCTATGTCTGCATCTAGATAAATGAATGATATGTTACGAGTCGCATACGCTTGAATTAGCACTCATTGTTGTTTCAAGTTCTCCATTCGCCAGGGGCATTCCTGAGTATCCCGTCGGTTGCCTTGAAGTCTAGGCACCATCAAAGAACTTCAGGAGGGGATCTCTATGATTCCTTCTACACGCTGTCGGCTGTACGATGTCTTACAGTATGAACATCTTCCGACGCAAAACGGAGACAGACCTTATTCGCCTTCAAAGTACTACTTCAGCACAGTCGCGCTCATTGGTTGCAGTTATGCCCTGTTAGTGAATAGTCGCTCAGCATATCCTCTGCTCGCTTTCACGGATCTCCCGAACGTCTTTATTAACCTAGTCTTCCCCACGCTATGAGTTTCAAGCAAGCTTTGTACCACTTTTAATTGCCGGTAGACCAGGTCCGTTGCGTAGAGAGACCTCTATATGCGCGGAGCGGTTTGAATATTAAGTTACGTGATACCTCACTTTGTTGGCTTTGGATTTGGACTGAAGGTCCAAGTCCGTCGTCGGTAGTAATATAACTTTGGGTACGTTTGCAGCGCCTCATGTGGGTTTGCGGGGGGAAAACGGCCATCCAACTCCAGGTTTTATGGCAAGCAGGCTCGGCTGCAAGAATCTTAACGTCATTTTTCAAAGGAGTCAACGATACATTACGAAAGTGCCATTCGCTCTGACTTCCGGCTCAATTCGAGACTCGGGAATGGAGATCGACGTATGTTCAATCTTAAAGTAATTCAATTATAGCGGGCTAAGTATGCTGGCAAAGTCTCCCGCCGGCTTCTGGGGTTAATGGGGTCGCCATGACTCTCAACGCAAGATGCCTTTGCACTTGACCCCCCCCCCCCCCCACCCCCCGAGAGCATATATATGAAGACATCCGGACGGCATTACTCACAAGGTCTCTCTGCATATCAACTGAAGCTGGCCATGGTTGAAATGGATCTACGTTCCGCAAATGGAGGTTACAAACGTATCTGGCAGGCGGAATTGACTCAAGCGGGATGAACGCTACGTGACGAAGTCGTTAAAGACCTTGTCAACGCGATGAGAATGGGAGGTTACCAACCGCTGAGAGCTGCTTACGTTTGATCTTCGTTCTTTCAGCTCTCAGAATACTAACATCCAGCGATGAAATAGCCGGTTGATTCCTGGACTGGATTTTGGACTGACCGAGATGATGTCATAGGCTTTGCAGCCTTGCACTAGCTGTTTACTGAAGGAATACGGATAGTTGAAGCCATGATTGACTGAGTGATCATGCGTTGAGAACTGACCAGAAGCATGATGTTGGTAATGGCCCTTATATTACATAGCGGCATAGCCGAAGGCATCCCGCCGGCTGGCTTGGGTCCCGCCCCCACAGCATGTTGAAATTGCCATTAGGGGGTGAAGTAGAATGCCGATTTTGCCTTGCGGTGAATCGTCGCCCGAATCATGTGTGGTAAACTTTCACACATCTCATCTGACATATTCATGGCAAAGAATAGACTTCTAGCTAGTCCAACGTCAACGGTAGCCTCTAAGCGTGATGTTGGCTAGCGCAGTGTATAGAGGTCACTTGAGTCTCACGTGAAATCGACCGATAATCACCTTCCTTCCGTGCATATCTCAGAAAGCGGTATCTCGCTCCTATGAGCCCGGAAACAAATGTCAAGTTTGATCCTCATTGGAATCGCTCAAGTGGTTCTGCTATTATTCTCTCTAATATGCTGCCTGACTCATAATCGGCAAAACGTATAAGCACGAGCAGACAGCCTGCACCTTTGGGCTGTTTCTTTTTCTAGCGGACCCAGCCTGCGAGTCTGTGTTCCTCGAGAGCATTTATCTTTAAAATCAGGGTCCTAATAGCAAGGGTGGCCTCATGGCATCAAGATTTGAAAGCGACCTTAGAAACAATATCCTTTAACGCATTCCTGTAAAGGTATCAGCTTTTTAGTGGTAGAGTGACTTGATTCCCGCATAGTACGAACCGCAACAGTGTACGCCACGCAAGTCTACAAAGACGATCTATTAGCGATTGATACACAGTAGCATGGGTGTAGAATGGCGTACACATCCTGACGAACTCATCGAGCAACACTCTTGGGGGGCATCGCGGACTGGATGGGGGTGCCCCCGGACAACCTTTGAGCCTGAGGGGTCTTTTGCGACCAGAGCCGCAGTAGCCAGTGATATGAACACGAAGAAAATGCCTCCCTTCATTCTGAATAGTAGGATAGCGTACGCAATTGAGATAAGTACGTAATCAGTACTTAATAAGAAGGCCGTGAAGTTCGAGCAAAAGCCTTACCACGGTTCATTGTACACCACTCAACTTATAGCTTTGGCCAGAAGGTCTGTCGAAGACGTACCAAACGGCGGCTATAATTCCGTACTTTGCCTTCAATCAATTTGAGTTTGGTTCCTGGAATTACAATGACTCGTCTGCTTTGATAAAGAATCGTGGTAGAACAACAGGTTTGTTTCGTTACAGTAGGAAGGGACATCGGGCGAAATGCGATTTCGCCTTACAGATCAATTACTATGTGGACAGCCGATGTTCCGAGTGTTCCATTCCGTAGTGGCCCGATCTCCGCTGATCTCTCACTAGAAACATGCTCTAAGAAGCTTCAATGGTTGCGAAATGATCAGCGAGGACTGAAGGCTGTGTGAATTGTATGGGCGGGCCACTTCCGTCTACATTCATGACTGCCACGGGTCCCAATCTCACCCACATCACGATAACATCGAGTCATAGCAAAATCCACCTTCAACCTCAGCAAATGGCATGGGCCGCGCAAGCCCTTTCGAAACTCATCACAGTAGAACCAAACAGAGACGTTGATTACAGGTGAAGTATCAAGACACTCTGAACAGTTCTTTGACGGCGCAAATTCTGATTTTGCCTGGCTAATCCCCTGAGCCGCTGCCAGCCTAAAACTTTCTCACAAGTACCACCATAGTTACGACTGAGCCGAAGATACCTAGGTTCCTAGATATATGTTTCCTTCGAAGATCATCGTATACGAACAAATCAGCAAAGTCTTTGTACATTGCATACGGTCTACTCGGTTCCCTCTTCGTGGGATCAAGTTTTGCGAGGCACCAAAAAGACTTCGAGAGCATGCCGGTGATGATAGCACAATGTGCAGTTGATTTAAAGTATCGGACATTAATTTCAACGTCAAAGGTTCTGAAAGTTTCTCTACGATGTCTGACAGGCTTGGCGCTTTGGTAAGGTGAGACTATGATAATACACCACCGAAGGCGCATGAGACCCAACCGGAGACCTCGATGGTGTTGTTTGACAACAATTTCGATAAATTTGTTCCCTCAGAAGAAAATTCCGTTATAGGCATATCCAGTAGGACCTTAGACAGGCAAGGGAATCATAAACCTTGTGCAAAAAGCTAGTGAAAAAGCCGGGGAAAGCCGGGAAACGTGGATTAACATTTGAACCAAAAGGAGATGATCACCGCATTTTTATTTCCTACTTGACCTTTACGTTTCCGAAGAACACTACGGACACACGGGCCGACTATGGTGTTACAACATTACGTCAGGGGGGCTTAGGAGCAATCTACGGAGCTATTCCGAGAGATGGCCCGGCTTCAGAGGCGAGGAAGAGACCTGCCTTAGCTCAAACACCCTCGTTCCATCATCCCCTAGACTTCAAGAACTATTACTAGTAACCTTGAAAGAACGCCCTTCTCTGCAGGCTTCTCCGCTAGAACGTATGATCTTCAAGTGGTTGAAGTGCTCTGAGTGCAATAAAAGCAGACTTTACTTACTCTTTCTGCCCAAGTCAATAGACTCATGCCGTTTCATTAACACCTCTCCACACTATCCACGAATACCCACGGTACACTCTGTGTTTGACAAGATGGCATCGAATACGATCGAAATCTACGAAGCTCCTTCCAGTTTACCAATCAACCAAGACTTCGTCGTTGAAGCCCGCCCTTCAAAAGCATATGCATCGAGCGATGCTCCTCAACAGTGGCGCCAGATACCGGCGTACGCAGTGGACGTTGCAAACCCCAACATCACAAGAAATACATTCAACAAACACACGGTAGCCCTAGCTTCCTTCGATTTAAACGCACCGACAACGATCAGTATTACATATACCGCGAGTGCCATTGCAACGGCAGTCATTCGGCCTCTTTCTCTGGGCATCATAGCGCAAGTCGAAAACGACAAGATTGTCTTCAATCTCGATCAATCACGAGATTTGATGATAGAGATCAACGGAGACAAGTGGAAAGCGCTTCATCTCTTGACGAACCGGATCGACAAAGATGCGCCAACGGCTGACTCTGAGGACATCTGGTACTTTGGTCCGGGCATCAATCAAGGCTCGGCATATTCCAAAGTCGCTGATGGTGTTAACTTGATGGTGCCTTCAGGCAAGACAGTGTACCTCGCCGGTGGCGCTTTCATCACCTGTCGGCTGAATTTCATTGATGTATCCAATTCTTCTGTACGAGGTCATGGCTTTATCCTTCGACCAGAGGGTGGGTACGTCTATCGAGAGCTTGGCGGCGCCATCACAATGAGCGGAGCCAGCAACATCAAGGTTGAAGGGGTCACTTCTCTTGGCGCAGAGGGCTTCAGTCTTTCCGCCGGAGAATGTCATAACATTCTCGTCAACAGATACCGATCCTTTTCATTTTCGGGGAATGGCGACGGAGTCGACTTCTTCTGCTCTTCGGACATCACTATTGAAAATTGTTTCTTGCGAAACTCGGATGATAACATCGCGCTGTATTCCCATCGCTGGAACTGGTATGGTAACTCAAACAACATCACGATCCGCAATTGTGTGTTGCTGCCGGACATTGCTCATGCCATCAACATGGGTACACATGGCAACCCTGCCAAACCAGAAACCACCAGCAACATTCGCATCAGCAACATCGATATCTTAGACCACGAAGAGAATCAGGTATGGTACCAGGGATGTATTGCCATCAACGCTGCTGACGAGAATCTTTTCCATGATATCCATATCGAGGATGTCAGAGTTGAAAGAATCACGAAAGGGCAGCTAATCAACATTCGTACCATGCAAAACGCGACGTGGACTACTGCTCCGGGTCGGGGTATTCGGAACGTTCACATCAAGAACATGTCGGCAAACCTGAGAGACTCAAAGGTTTTCAATCCATCAATGATAATGGGGTATGATCGGGATCGGATGGTGAAGAATATCACATTCGAGAATTTGAGGATTGGCGAGGAGATCATGCATGAAGAAATGCCGAAGCCTAGGTGGTACATGGTGGACGATCTCGTGCCCATCTTTGCCAATGAACACGTTGAAGGGTTGAAATTCAGAAAGTCAGCAAAGTAGAGGGAGAATTCTCAATTGATTTTGGAGACCATCGGCATCTGGCAAATTCTCAGAATATTGAGCGCGTTTAGTGGTAAACTTGGAGTGACGATTTTCAGCATCTTTGAACTGAGTCTGCCGACATTCTCCAGAAAACATCAACCTCACATGCATCCCGGAAATACTCCTACATGATCAGAGCCAAGGCAGCCAACATTCCAGACAGCCAGGAAGCAGGCATGAACCTCCCAGAGCCAGATGTAGGAACCTGTACGATTGTAGTTCCGGAAGGCAAGGTTTTGGTGGTTGATGAGGAGCGGGCAGTCTGAGTAGCTTCTGAAGCAGGACCTTGGCTTGACGATTGAATTATTAAACCTGAAGTTGGCACTCAAGTCAACTCCGATGCTGTTGCAATGGTTTCGGAAGCTAAGATTGTGCCTCCAATAGTGTTTGATTGCCCTGCTAGATGATTAGAACGCGAATAATGAGGTATATGTCAAGCAGCCCACAGTTGACAGAAGAGGTTCCAACCTGGCCTGTTGTTGACGTTGGAAGCTTGTCGTAAGAGGACGTGAACTAGGAATGTTGTCTATCAGATTCATGAAGACGGTTGAAGTATCAGGAGTATTCAAGGCTTACAGAGCAGTCAGCCGTTTTGGTCGACAAGGTCTTGACCTCCGTACCCAAGGCTACAGTCGTTGCTGTAAAAGCTGCAAAGGCGCACGTAAGCTCTCTTCTCATCGTGGCTATAGGAAATTGTTGTTCTTTAAACTGGCAGGAAGTGCACAGAATAAAGTTGATGGCAAACGAAGGATGTCGAAGAGGCAAAAGCTACTTTTGAGATCTGTGAGAGGACGTGGCAAGCTTGATCTTGAGCTTATGTACCTGGCTATTCATCGATCTTCCATCCCAGACAATTTCACTTACATCAGCCCAGTAGCTGAGAAAATTTCCGGTTTGGTATTCATTAGCTTACTCTTCGAGCAGAATCCGGAACCATCATACAATGAAGGTGCACTCGATGGGTTCACTTAGTGATAAGCAAAATTTGACTCGTTTTCCGCATCCGTCGTAAGCAGTCGGATCACGAAGTGATGTGAAATGCTTTCGCCTAGACTTGCAGCTCGCCAGAAATAACATGTTATCGGCATTCTCCGGGCTCAGCGTGCTCAGCTAGGGCACATGCAGGGAATCTGTCTTGGCTCAAGAGGAAAGTGAAGATTCGGAAGTCATGTTTGGCAAGACGCATAGCCATAAAGTGATTAGTAGAGAAGTTTTCGGAAGTTCAAGGATGCCCGACCACAAAGCATGGGATCCTAAGAGGCAGCTGGCATGTGTCTTCACGGACTTTTTTGGCCCTAGCAGCTCGTATTGGCCTCTCTTGGACAGACAATACCCATCTTGGAAGCAAATCTCACGTGTAGTGAACGTCGCTTCCAGACATACCATGAGAGGAAATATGTAATGGAGACACGATGGGTCTGTTCGTCTCATCTCTCGCAAGTCTTACGCTCTCATCTAGACTCGTACCAGCTCGTCTATCACCACAGGCTCCTCGTCAACTTCGGCTCCTATTACTGGCTTCATGACCACCATGACATCGACCGGTACGCAGACGGGACTGACAACAATAATTCCTACCAACCCGGCTAGCACAACTAGCGTAATCACTTTTGTGACACCATCATCCTCTTCCACGTCTACTTCAACTTCGTCTTCGTCCTCCACTAGTCCGACCGCAAGCTGTACCCCTGGGCTACTCTGGGCCTACTATGGTCTTGCGCAAGCTCCAACAGAGACTGCTAGTAGCTCCGGAAATATCCCTTTTCACGGTAACGGCGCTGATGGTCAAGCAAACTGAAGTATGACTTATTTCAACATCAACACCGTGCTCTCTGGACAGAATCCTGATAACACGGGTCGGACAACGACCATTGATCTTGCACAGCAATGCGCCACCACGACTCGGACCGTCTACGGAACCACAACGAGCGGGCAGTCCCAGTTCATGATTGTTCAACACATCGGATACTTCCATCCGGCCACTTCTGGCACGTATACTTTCAGCTTCAGTAATGTCGATGATGGTGTCTATCTTTGGCTAGGCAATAACGCCAAGACTGGTTTCACCAATGCCAATGTCAACAAAAATGTCGACTACTACGTTACCAATAGCGCCGGCACCTACACGTTCACTGAGACGGCCGGCCAATACTATCCAATTCGGCTATTATTTGTCAATGCACAGCAGTGCGGCAGCTTCACTTTCTCACTCACTGACCCGGCCGGAGGTGTGGTTGTCTCGAACTCTCAAGCCGTAGTTGGCGATCAACTCGTAGCTAGTTGCCCCAACGACTCGAACGCAGCGCCTTTTGGTTTCTAGATTGTCTTTGTTATTCTCCATTGTAGTCTTTAAACTTGATTCGATTGAAAGCCGTTGCTGCAAGTAGATTGCTGATTCAACCTCTCAGGGAAACGTGCCTCTTCGGTGTGCAGTTCGTGGATACTACCAAAGCTCCCTGGGTGATACCGAGAATGTAACACCGGGCGAAGAGACCCTAATACAGAATACAACTATTCATTGACTTCGCTCTTTATGCTCATTTTCCCGTCAAAGTGGAAGTGTAAAGCTGTAGTGTACACGACAAGAACATATTGATCACGGAGTATGATGTGAGGAATCAAAGGCTGAAATTTTTAACCTGTTCGCGAATTTGTTTCGGCATCGGGGAATGAGCCATTCGAATAAAGGTACCAATTTTGTCTAAAATGAGTCTCTGCCAAGGCTTCCTCGGCTTCGTTTGCGAGGCGCACTTCGACCAGGTCTCACGCCCCCGGAAATCCGGGAGAGATCTCGGTGTCGCCCGTGCCGATCATGAAGGATGGCCACGCAACGCAGCGCGCCGCGTCTTATCACCCCGCGTTTGTGGGGTTAAGCATGGATCGGGCGTCAGCCGGGGAAGATTGCGCCGGTGCTGTGTATGCACACTCTTTTGGGGTGGTATTGACGATGTACCATCAGATTCCTAATGTTGCCCAAAGGTTGGGTGGGAGACCTTCATATCATCAAATTGATATCTATAAGACTCTTCGTTATGTTCATATTTCAACTTTTGAGGCAATTCTTGGCATCGCACCTCTATCAGAGTTCTTCGGTCTCAAACAGTCACCATGCATCTTAAGGCCGCTTTCCTCTTGCCTTTATTGTCATGGAGCGTGACAGCTTCACCTTTCGAGAAGCTGCATGGCCTGAATGATACGTCGTTCGCTCATCCAGGCTCTCTTCACTCCGCGAAAGATTTCGCAAGAATCAAAACCCATGTTCAAGCCCAGGATCAACCCTGGTACCGAGCCTGGCAGCATCTAGAAGCCGGAAAATTGGCTCAGACCTCGTGGAAGCCAACGCCGCAGTCGGTTCTTGTCCGTGGCACAAACGCTACCTTTGCGCCCACCAACAACTACGGCTATGCCTATCGCGATGCTCACTCAGCGTACCAGTTGACCATTCGATGGCTGGTTGGAGGTAACACTTCCTACGCAGACCACGCAGCCAAAATCCTCGACGGCTGGAGCTCTACCCTTGTCGATATCAACGGCACTGAAGACAAATATCTCGCGGCAGGGCTCTACGGATACCAGTTTGCCAACGCCGCCGAGCTCCTTCGTGGATACTCCGGCTGGCCCAAGCAGAACCAGACGGCCTTTGGCAAAATGTTGAACGGCGTCTTTGCGGTGTACAACCACGACTTCCTCGAGCACCACTACAACAAACCGGATTTCTACTACGCCAACTGGGACTTGTGCAACATTGCCTCGTTGATGGCGATTGGTATTTTCAACGACAACAGAACCATGTACAATTACGCGGTCAACTACTTCAAGAACGGGATTCCGGGCCAGCCAGAGGTTGTGGCTAATGGTGCCCTGCCCTATTTCTCAATCGCCAACTTCACGGAGCAGGGTAGCGGAAAGACTCTGATGCAGATCCAGGAGTCTGGCCGTGACCAGGGGCATGCTTTACTCTGCATCGCTCTCATCGGAGTTATCGGGCAACAAGGTTGGAACCAGGGAATTGATCTCTTCGACACCTTTGGCCGCCAGATCCTGAACGCGTGAGTTCTCTTTCTGTCCCACTCCAGATTTTCTGGCAGGTCGCTAATTGAAGCTAGCGCCGAGTATGTTGCCAAGTACAATACCAACCACACTGTTCCTTACACGCCTTATCGTAGCTGGGAAGGTGTGCTGGAGGTCGTGGCCCCAAAAGCTAGGTTTGATGTACGACCTGGTTATGAAGCTCTCTACTCCCACTACGCGGAAGTCAAGGGTCTCAATGCCTCATGGTCAATGGAGTTCCGTGACTTTGTCAATGGCAACCTGACCGCCAACATTGAAGGCGGCGGTGGTGACTACAGTCCGAACTCGGGTGGGTATGATTCGTTCGGACATGGAACTTTGCTGTATCGCATCGATAAAGATAGTTAAGCTCCAGCCGAAAAGGGTGTGTTGCTAAGGTATTTGAGTCAACACCAAGTTGAAAGTCGATACAGAGTAAGTATGAGGCGAAGCAATATCTAGGAAGCATTCCTGTCGTACGTTCGTCTGCTCAGCTGCTGCAATCATGATTTCCCATTGCGTGCACCAAGTTGAAACAACTGGCTCGCGACTTCTCAATCCCAAATTTATACAATAACTATGTTTTCCCATACGTAACACTCATCCCATTTCCATTTTATTTGGCATCAACAACATCCATCGATAAGTCTTGCGTCCGCCTTAATCACGAAGCCTCATATAGTTCAAGCTTAAAGCTGTTTCATTTCTGAGGTCGAGCTTTCATTACACTAGAAGATGCTCTTTAAAGACTGCCTGTAAGGGAGTCGCAATATGGAGTTCTGGCGCATCAAGAGCTCACCCTGCCCCTCACCTCACCAAGGTGATGGCCGAACCAAGCCTCGGGGACTTCAACCCTTTACGAGCTAACAAGTATGGTGCAAACTTTTTGAATTACTAGTTTCAAGATGTTAAATTCAATATAGAAGCGTGCAGCATCTAGTTTACAGTCGTTGCTTCAAAGCTACTTTAGGCCTTTCCTCTTTGAAACTATGATTGATCAACAACGCCGACATATCCATCCCTTTATTGGAGAATCGTAGCCGTTCCATTTCCCAAACCCTCAATATCAGATTTGACTGGCAAGGACCTAGGGAGTGAAGGCAGACCAGACTGTTCAGCAGAGAGCTGATCCTCAAGGTCCAAAGGGGCACGTCTTGGTATCTCTGTCTCATTGATTGACGATCGAGAGAGGCCATCCGATCCTGTGCTTGTGACATATCCGGAGGGCGGCTGACGAGTTCTCTCATCAAACGTCCGGCTGTTGTTGGTCGCCGATGAGCCGGTGGCGTTGTGCTTGACGTCTCCCAAGGTCGATGTAATAGATGCAGAAGCATTGTTGAGTGCATTTGTGCCTGCTTGCGGCAAGTCTCTCGCCTTATCAGCAGTTGTGTTGGTCGCGTTGTAGACCGTTTGTTGCCCGCTCCGAGCAGCGTTGCCGAGGGTCGTGCTCGCGTCAGAAGCAGCTTGTTGTGCCTTGGAGGACAGCTCCGCCGTCTTTGCTTGTCCATCACGAGCGAGCTCTGCGCCCTTCTGAGCGGTCACGTTCGCAGCGTTTTGAGCCTGCACAGTGGCGTCATGAGCGATCTGCCGTCCCTGAGGCGAGGCTGCGAGAGGAGCAACGAAGATGGCGGTCACTCCGACTACAGCTAACCAAAACGGAGAAAGGACTTTAATGAGTGCATACACAGATGCAAGTCCGACGAATGCCTGCAAATAGGTCAGTCACTGAATTCTATATCACGTGGCGAATCATTTTCGCATCTAGTGTTCACTTACGCCAAACGTTCTTCCCAGGTCTTCGCCATAGATGATTCGTTGAGCTTCTACCACTGCGTATTGAATAAAGTCGTGAACATCTCTCAGAGTGTTGTTGAGTGTAGACTCCGGCACTCTTCTATACTGTCTTGGTCGAAGGCGTGTGGATAAGGAGTCGGAACTGAAGGACCGGCTGGCATACTCAGCAGCAGAGACGGCTAGGCAACTTAAGCATTGGCTCACATGAGTAAGTGTGTCCAGTCTTACCTCCAAGAGTAGTGACCGCCGCCTTCAATGCCAATTGAGTGAGGGGTAAGTAATGTGCCCCAAACAAGATGCCCAAGGTACCGATATATACACCAAGGGTGCGTAGAGGATCTTCCCACTAATGTTACAAGTTAGCAAAGCTGCAGTGCGGGCGCTACATGAGCAAGTACGTACGTTGATATACTTGTAGAAGCTGTCTTGCTGGGCTGGGTGAAGGACTTTATTAGCATCTTGTTTTAGTTGACGAACGAAATTCACCCAATACCTAAAACCTGTCGCAATGGGCCTTCCTGCGTCGATCTTGGCGATTGTTCTTCGTTCAGGGCATTCTGGATTTTTGATGCAACTAAGGAGTTGAGACAACAATTGTAAGTCTTCTATTTCACGTACATTGCTGCCGTGCCTACAAAGCTTACTCTGCGACCTTCCCTGGTCAGTACGATGGAAGCTATCAGCCGTTCCGGGCAAGACAATGACAGTTGGGTCAGCCATGATTATGACGTCGACGCGTGGATGATGAGGAGTTGGTGAGTAAATGTGGATAAGATCACGAACTCCACTGAAGCGGGGGATTTGGAGCTTTCACTCTGATTTGATGAGAGAACAAGAACGACAAATTTTCTATCAGACGGCGGAAGCAGACTTTATGACAAAAGCCAAACATCCAAAATCTCCTAGACCACCCGTGACACGAAGGCGCAATCCTGGTGTATTGCACCACCGGTATGCGGTTACACGATGTGAGGGGAAGGGATTACGAAACCCAACGTTCGTGACGTACATAGCTGGTCATTGCGTATCCGCTAAACTATGGTAGGATTCCTCAATGTCAAGAAACGGCTCGCATATCCGCTGGAATCGAGATGCAGGACGCCGCGCTGTCATTGCCTTGACCGAGGTGAGGGGGAACCCCTTTGATATTCAAAGGCCAATTGACGTCGTTCGACAGTCATTTGGGGTCCGTTCCACTCGCAGCCCTGACGCGCTTTGATGACGAGGAGGCGGGGTGTCTCACCAAGACATCACGGCACTGGCATGCCGCTAGACTTGCTAGAGCCAAGATGATATTCGAGGGACTACTTGCGTATTTGCTCACATACTTATACCAGACGATGTGCGTCGGCTACCTACCTCATGTCATTTCAGGGGCTGAAGTAGGTTTTAATAGGTCTATTCTTCTAGCTAGAATCAATAGAGCCGCAGAGGTACTTTCACCTACACGAAAGGTTCACAGGCGTCCATGCCCAATGCGCCCTGGTTATTTATGAAGGCGTTCGGTCTTACGGTCCGGCCCGCTTCCTAGTGAGTGAGGTTTCGATCTGCACAAGGTAGTTGGATGCAACCCTCGAAGCCCATGCATCAAAGGCATGTCCTTTGATTGAGCAGCTGAATGTTACCTACGATCTGCAGCCTCTCTATTCGCGTCAAAGTGGAAGGGGGCGTCGCGTGACTCAGTACGATGTACTATAAATGAACAGTTTGAATAATACATTGGTCTGCGCGTTTCTGACGCTTCCTATGCTAACCGAAGGGTATATGCGCTCTATGAGAACCATATAGTATACAAATAAGACGACTGAAGAAAAGGAAATATTTTCTCTATATGGCACGGCAGATTGCATCGCACATTAGATGACCAAAACAGCCAATGCCGCTACAGCCGCAAGCAAGCCGCCAGAGCTAAGCTTACCAGCGCCGGCCTGAACGGGGCCGGTGGTGGTTGCTGGGCAAGCGGCGCCAACACAGGGAGAGGTAGAACCGGTTCCGACAGGGATCACGGCGGTAGTCAGAGTGCCGTTATATCCATCCGACGGTGCAACGACCAAGGTCGTAGGAATGGGGGGAGGGCCGCCGGGGGTGCCTGACGCGCCGGGGGTCTCGAGGACGGGCTTCTCGGTAGAGACGGTGCTGCTGGAGGCGGGAACACCGACGGTAGGAACACCGGCGCCAGGGGCGGTGGAGGCACCGGAAGTGGCACGAACAGGCTTCTCAGAGACGGCAGTTCCACCGACGACGGTAGTGACGGGCTTGGGGACCGTGGTGGAGATGAGCTCGCTGGTGACGATGGTGGAAGTCCTGGCCGGGCAGTTCGTAACCTCTGCGGCGCAGGAAGTGATCGTGACGAGGTTGGTCTTGTATGTGGTCAAGACGGTGGGGACGTCGGTGGTGAGGACGGGCTTCTGGCTTGCCTCAGTGGTAGGCTTGGGGACAACGGCACTGGTAATGATTGTAGAGGTTCTCGCGGGGCAGTTGGTAACTTCGGCAGCGCAGGAGGTGATGGTGACAATGTTAGTGAGGTAGGTGGTGATTTGCTCGGCGGGAGGCTGGCCAGTGACGACAGGCTTCGCGGAGCCGGCGGTGGTGGGAACGGCAGGGACACCGGGAATAGTAGTAGGAATGACCTTGCTTGTGACGACAGTGGAAGTCCTGGCCGGGCAGTTTGTGACTTCTGCGGCGCAAGAGGTGATTGTGATGATGTTGGTCTCGTAGGTTGTGATAGCCGTGGTGATATCGGCGACAGGCTCCTGGGAGCTGACGGTGATGGGGGCATCGCCGCCGGCGGGCTTCGAGGGGATATAGCTCTCGACGGGGATGGCTACGGTCGTCGGGATGACTGCCTGGCTGGTGACAGTGGTCTGTCGGGCGGGGCAGTTGGTGACCTCAGGAGCGCAGGAGGTGATGGTGTGGACCTCGGTCTTGATGACGGTCAACTGCGTAGGGACGTCGACGACGGGGCAGACGGTGGTAGTGACAGCAACGACCTCGGTGACGACCTGAGGGGTCTCGCGGGCCGGGCAGTTGGTAACTTCGGCGGCACAAGAGGTGATGGTCTTGATGTTGGTAGCATAAACGGTGGAGGTCGCCAGACGGGTGGTCAAGCTCTCAATGGCGGCGGCAGAAGTCGCAACAGGCTTTTCGGAGGCCACAGCGGTGGACAGGGCGGAGCTGACGACAGCGGTCTGCGCGACAGAGGTAGAGGCAGCGACAGTCGAAGCGGCAACTGAGCTGGAGATGACTGAGGCAGTGGCGTTGCCGTCCTTGAGGTTGTAGTACTTGATGGAGCTGATCTTGAAGAAGACATCGGCAAAGGCAGTCGGGTTGGCGGCAACGTACTCCTTGCAAGTCATACCAGTCTTCGCCTCACAAGTCTGGGTCCAGATACCATCGTTTCCGGCCACACCGCAGAAGTCAATGTTGGCCACGAGCTTCTGCTCCTCGAACAGCTTGTCAGCGGCGCAGGTGCTGGTGGTGAAGCTGGGCGTGCCCCAGGCATCGGGGTTCGGGTTGGCGCTCGCGATGTCGGCGGGAACGTTGGCGTGAGTAAAGCCCCAGACGCGGATGGCGGTGTCAGTCCATTGCATGGCGTAAACTCCTCCCTCGGCGGATCCAAAGGGGGCAGCGCCATCAAGACCGGCGCAGCCTTCGTTGTCAGACTGGCCTGCGGCATAGTTTGCGCAGTTGGGCTTGCTGATGGTGCCGGTCATGTTCGTTCCGTCGATACGGCACTCGCCGAGCGTGCCGTCGGTGTGAAGGACGACCTTGTTCACATTGTCCTCGTTCCAGGTCTCAACGATGTCGATTTCGCCGGCAGCGGGCCAGGGGTTGCCAACGGTCCAGCTGGTGGTATCTGATCAGCATTATGGATGGGCTGAAGAATGTGAAAGGAACTTACACCGCAGGCCAGGCACCGCAGACAGGCTTAGGAAGATGGGAAAAGTTGATGACAAAAAGTCCCTGACCGTACTTGGCCGTACTCTCGATTCTTACACTGCTTCTGCCGATACCAGCGGCATCGAGGGTAGATGTAGAGTCGACACCGAGGTACAGGTCACCGCCCTCAGTCTTTACGAGACCCATGCTCTGAGCATCTGCTGCCGACTTGTAGCTGACATATCCACCGGTGGGGTCAACATCGTTGTAGTTCCCGGTGGAGTGGTCGCTCTAGATAGATGATCAGCCAAAGTTCTAATGCATCACTTATCGACTTGGAACATACCGTGAAGAAACCAAACTTCTCAAGAAAGTTGGTCGAGTCGTAGCTGTCGGCGAGTTGGTAGGTCTGGATAGCGGCCGCGGATGACGTGAGGAGGAGGGCGGAAGAGAGCGTGGAGAGAAGCGAAGGCGCCATCGTGGGCTAAGGATGGATATGAGGAATATGAAACTAGGTGGAATAACTTGTAATAACTATGCAGAAAGACAGAAACTGGAAATATCAAACACAATTAAGAAACGACAGAAATGGGTCTTCGAACTGTAAAGTGAGTGAACAGAATGAAGAACTTCGAAGGCTTGTTCTTGAACAAAAGAATGAATTAAGAAACCAGAACAGGAATCTTGAAAGAAGGTGAGAGGGAGGGCCTAGATGCGCAAGGCGCTTGCTCCCATGGGGTTACCATGAGTCTTATACCGACCCGAAAAAGACGGTCGACCCAGATTCGCTCCTGGCCATTCGATTCACCCGCGGAGAGACGGGCTGAGATGCTCAGGGGGGGTCTACGACCTACCTGTTTCTCCAGCAATTTCATTCTCATTGGATCCCCTCGTACCGACAGAGCCTTGGTGAGCAGTACCGGGAGCACTGGTTCGTTCAGGGGCTCTGGATGGAGAACGAACTAGAACATACATAGCCCGCTCATCCCCTCGGCCCCTTGACAGACTCTGCCGGTTCTGGAGATATATCAAGGGTCTTGTGCATCGTCTGCCAACATACGTAAGTAATCGTGGTTCCACTCCTCGCATCTCCATGTCTCTATGCCACTTGTGCATTGACATATGCGCTTGTGAGTGGGCACAAGAACATGTTTCTTGCAGGCCCAGAGAACCTCAAACACACCAACACATAAACACATGCGCACTAAGTCCGCATTCGTTCATGGAATGCCAGGAACGGCACGGCGGTTGGCTGGCGGCTCAGGTACAGTCCACGCAAAGGTGTCGTTGTCCCGAGGCCAATGAAGCGGAGGGCGCATGTGTGTAAGCCCACCCCCTGCTTGACATCCAGGAACAGGCCCTTGATCGGGACAAGGTGGACTCGAAGTGGACTACAACGGGGGCCTGATGGTGGTCTGAGTGGATGTCGTGAACATGGTGGGTTGTTTTTCTTTGAAGTGACGGGCAGGATTCCGCCGTTCCCCTATTCTTTTTCTCCATTGACCATTCGAGCCATTGTCCCGCGCTAGACAGGGGTTGTCTCACTCAAGCCGCCGAGATCTTGATGGTGCTGGTCGCTCTTGGGGGCGTGATTGGCAAAGATCTCCTGCACCGTTGCATCGAATTCTCTAGACCAGCGGCTTTTCTCCAAGTCAATATTTTTTTTCTTCCTCTAGTTCACTTTCAGTGTCTTGCTATTTGTTTCAAGTAATGACAGCTCACGAATAGTCCTAAGTGCCGCCGGTCTTCTTCTAGTTTCGTTACATCAGAGCGACGGACTGTCTTTGTTTATCTGGCCACGCGGCGCGTTAAACCCGTCAAGTTGCCGAGCACTTCCAAGTTTTCCACACCCGTTTACGCATACCATTCGGGATTGGAGGGCTCCAACTCCCAGCTTCCAAGGGCAGAAAAAACGTGTCGCTTTGATTGCTCCCTCTCAGGGGCTGAGCCTCCCGCTCCGGAAGTCAACGACCAATCCAGACGTTCACAAGGCTGGTTTCCACGGGGTAGTGGTCGGACGTCGTATTCGAATCTGTATTAGTGAAGGGGTTCGCCCCGGTGGAGTTACCAAGAAAAAGCGGCACGGTTTTTGGATGTGGATGCCCTGTCTTGTCAACTTGTGTTTCCCAGGTCATGGTTTGAGGGCCATTCCATAAGGCGAAGTTGCACAAACATAACAGGTCGTAGCCCAAAATATTTTCAAAGCTAGCTTCCCCAGCCAGCTTTGAAAACGGGTTTATTTTGCTAATGCTTGACTTTTGTGGGTTTTCACTCTCTTGAATATCGGATGGCAGCCCTCGTTTGATGGTTGCTTTGCTCCGCTTTTGCCTCGGCTACGAGCCCCTTGCAGTCTGGTCTCCTCTTTCAGCTTTGGCTAACAACATGAAGGCGAGACCCAGTCGGTGGGCCGTGGGATGATATCAAGGAAGATTCCCCGATCTTTGGGTCCGCGTACTAAATATGGCGTCCCTTCATCTCCTTCACCTTGCTTGACCGACTTTCTTCTCGAACTGGCACGGCTAGGTGGAACGCTGTATCTCGAACTTCGATATTGGGCCTTCGCCTCATTATCATTGAGCCACAAATTCGACTGTCAAGATAGAAATAGTGTGTCATTGAGCAGAGTCAGCATTCGTTCGACAATCTGGTTTTGCACGCTGTTCATCGCTTACAGATGTAATGAGCCATCTGGCGCCATTGATCTGTTCAATTTCCAATGAACAGTAAGTCGAATAACGTTGTACACAATTATGGTGGTTAAATAATAGCCCTACTTCATGTCACGCACCCGCCATTCTTGCAATGATGCTTTCAGCTGCCTGTAATGGGCAACACTTATCCAAATCAGCTGGTTCAATCCGTAGAAGAACACTCGCCAACGATCCCACGATCACGCTAAACTCCCACATGCCCGGATGAAGTCTGTTGATCAACCAACGCAAATCTTCAGTTCAAAGTTATGACTCCAGTTCCGCCTGATCAAGTGCCGTGAAACTCACTGGCTGCATTACGGCATCTAGTGGACGGCACATCTGGACCGCACGGCCCAGTGGAGTACGCCTTCTCGCCTGCGGATACATCCCCTAGTGCTGCAACGGCAATGCTTCGGAAGTGCCACTCTTCGGGCTATGATCGGCCCTTGCCTTGAATCCAGCTTAGCTGACGTTACATTCTAATGGCATGAAAAATATCGCGGTGTAGCTTTGACCATTAATAGGATTCCATACATTTTGCAGAACCCGTGATTTATTATGAAAAACCAGGGAGCAAGAGCTGTCGCACAAAAGTACTCTTTGGAATCTTTCCTGTGGAGAGGATAAGCGATACAAGTTTCTCATTCGCAATAGTGGCGGTTAAGGTCTTTTATTCACATGCAGGAGGATTGGTCAAGTATATGTTATCCAAATAGCATTCCCTGAATGCTCTCATGCTGCGACATGTCGAGGTGCCCCAGTTTCTTATCGTGTATCGTCAAAAACTGCTCATATGGTTTTAAAGGAAAGCAATGAGTCTCCCCTGAGAACTCGGTTGCTCTTCCGTGTCGAAAGTGTATACTCGAGAGCATATTTTTGGTAAACAGTTACCGCTCTGGAAGATAGAAATGTATCCATGTTGAAAGGCTCCCTTCTGAAGACTATGAGACCTAATTTCGTTTCTGTTCTTATTTTTAGACCACATCAAAGTCAGGTAGCCAATTGGGTCGGTAGAGCTCTTCTCCAATACTGCAGGACGAAGATCGAATAGGAGGAGTCAGATGCAAGTATCAGGATACATAGTGTCAGCTCACTCAAGTCTAATTTCCCACAAACGAAGCCCCCAAGGAATGTCAAACTAGAATCCGACAAGTCGTTAGTATGTATAGACTATGTAATCACATCAGATTGACCGCAACTCTCACTCGATAACATGGAACTTTTCTTGAGAAACAAGTCGAGGCCATCGCTTTCACTTGATGCGGGATCAAGGGATGAATTTTCAACCACTGAAACTTCAAGCGAAGGAAGACAGATTATTTAATCACTCCATTGTCTTTGACCGCTTTGCTCTAAGACACGAGTTTGGCCAATAACATCATCCCCGTCTTCAACCCAGTATGACCAAGGCCAGAATAACCACCCACGCACCGCCCGCCCCCCACAACCGGAGTACCCTAGATCGCCCCTCCGCACTACTCATCTGGTTTCCATTCGCATCAGGCAGAGACGGTGCGTTACGAAAATCATTCGGAGGCACGATGGACGGCAGCGTTTGAAAATTCGGTGGAACAAAGACCGTCACCGGCGTGATGGACTCCGAAGACGGGGCCGAAGAAACCCCGTTAACGGGGGGTACGGATGGCGGCGGCGGAGTAGGTGAGGCTGATGGAGTCTGAACTGCCGGCGGAATGGTCGGCGGGGGTGCAGTTGTTGAGGTAGATGTCTGGATGGCGGGTGGTATAGCGGGCGCTGGGGGAAGGGGTACCGATGACGAGGACGAAGAGGTAGACGTCGATGGGAAGGGTTGCGCGGGGGCCAAGTTTGCCGGCAACGTTGTTGTCACGGCTGGGTTCAACACTGGCGGTGGGACTATCGGCGGAGATGAAGTCGTAGTCGTAGAAATCGTCACCGGCGGCGCCGGGACCGGAGCGGCCGGCGCGGCAACGAAGCCGCATTCTCCAATGACTTCTCTGATATCTGCACTCCATCGTTAGTATGATCGCCTTCCTTTCAGAAGACTGAGCCAAGTGGACAGTCTCGACTCTTGCAAGAGGTAAACTCACCCTCATTGGCTTCCACGGCCGTAACGTTCCGCGAAATGCACGACAAACACCCAAACGCAGCCCCGGCAACGTCAAACCCCCTCTCCCCACAAACACACGCCCTCGAAGCATTCTTCACCGCCGCCTCAGCAGCCTTCTCGGAAGCCTCCTTCGCAGCATCCTCCGCGCTCGCTGAGCGCCCGACGCCCAACGTAGGCACGGCAGCGAAGCCCGACCCCGGAGCCAGACTCGCCGTGGGCTCCTCTTCTTCGTCGCTGCTATCCTCTGACTCCGGCTCCTGTCTCCCGCTGAGTCTCCGACCCAGCATCCTCTGTAGATTCCTTCTCCTTCTCTTCTTACCATCCCCTCTCCGTTCTATCCTTCCCTTGACATCCCTGTCCTTTACCGATCCATCATGGTATTGTCGAATCGGTAGATCCCGCTTGTCCTTCCCGAACTGGGCCTCCACCTGTGCCTCGCACCGCGCCGTGAGCTGTACTATAGGCGCGCAAACCTGAGCGCACTCGGGCGGGACGTCCTCAGCCTCTAGGTCCTCTACTGCCGCAACGCCGGGGACCAACATTAGGCTGGGCAGGTTCGTGGTGACAGACAGCAGCGCGAGGACAGTGGCGAGGTGAAGCGTCGTGGGCCGGTGGTGGCGTGTCATCTCGGCTTCGGCTTCGTCGAATGCATGCAAGGCGTGTAAGCAAATGACTTGGTGGTTGCTGCTAGTGCTTCCGCGTCTTGCTCAAATAGTTATTCAACTCCTTGGTGTCGTCGTCGAAGTTATCGTTGTTCGTCTCGTCTCATGACACCGGAAAATAGCACTGTAAATCTGACAGATGCCATCCAAACTTTTTCGTCAAGTGCCTGCAACTTTGTCCCAACTCTAAATTCGAACAGACCCGCCCTCCATCCATCAAAGAGAGAAACTCCAGAACGGTCTTTTCCAGATGTAGGTAGGATGGTGAGAGGGGGGGTATTCAAGCTTATTGTAAAAAGAGCAACCCTCCGTCTACCATCCCCCCCACTATCCGACCAACTCATACTGAAATCCGTAAGGTCTCAGTGTAACTGTAATACCTTCTACATGATCTACCCCTCGGAAACATCAGGCCAAACGCCGAAACCCAAGTTGCCCCAACCCCTTAGACCACTGCCGGATAAAGCATTCGCAGAGGGCTGTTGAACGCGTCCCCATCCCGAAACGTCTTGGCGGTATCACTAGAACCACGAGGAAAAAGGAAACCCACATTTTCCCGATGGACGTTGCCGTAAGCCTGGAAGGCGATTTTAGAGTTCAACCTCGCAGCGGGAAGCATCTGGTAGTTAATATACAGAATTAACCCCTAAATTTGGCAAAAGAGGGTTCGTTGATTGATCGCCTGCTGGGGTTCTTTCATTACCTAACGCAGGTAAAGAAGCCACGGAAGGACAGAAAAGAACATTGAGAACCCCGCTGCGAGTCATTCCCAGTGCATCGTACCATTTCCCATCTCTTACCGACAAAGTCTAAATAAGCGGCCTCCATCATCGCCAGATCGATAAGGAACTGAAGTTAAGTATCCGTACGGCTGACTTCTCAAGCTATTGAGATCTCCCCGTCCACGGATTATGCATATCCGACACCCTGCCGAGTTTCCGTTCTAGAACCCTTACAAACCACTTACATCGCCGAGCCGGGTGCAAAGAACGGCTCCGACCTGCCATTCCCATCGCCCTTGTCCAGGCTATCGGCCGAGTCATTGTACTACAGCGGCATGAGACCTTCAAGTCTTGGACTTAGGCAACACGGTATCAATCTGACCCCGGAAGCCACTCTCAGACCTCAGGTTCAACACAGCGCCAAGGTCTACTACTCATCATGGAAAGCCAAGTCCTCCTCAGTTCGGCGAATGCTTATCGATGCTTAGTCCATCCCGATCCATTTCCTACGCTCCCGACGTCTTGGCTATGAATCCGTCTTGACCAGCTTCGCATGGGCTCAGTCCGCGGCGGACTGTGTTCCCCCCGGCATTCCCGAACCAGTCCCGATGAGGCTCTCTTTGAAGCTGCGACTCTACGAACCAGTCTTGGCTGCTACTCTATACAGCAACGCAAGGCCAACAAGAAAACAAACACAAAGCTGACAAATTCCAACCCACCCCTCGAGGATCGTCTACGGTCGTCAGTCTCGCGCATCACAGGTGACGCGTTCGCCATCCCAAGGGGCGTACGAATACGTAGTTGTATGCATCAGATCTCTCTTCTTGGGTATATTCACTGAGCTATAACAACCTGAACCCTCGCCATCCACATATCCATACATCCACTCGCCCTCCCCATTCCCTTGGCCCTCCCCATGGGATGGGCCTCGCCTGCCGGGGAGTTAACCCCACGTCCCGCCACCACCACCTCCACGACCGCCCTTCCTCTGCGCACTCAGCCTCCAGTCGTCCTCCCCAGCATACTTATTGTGCAGCGGCTGGATCCTCTCCGCCTGCTTCCTCTTGGACAACCGATCCGTCGGCGCAACCTTGAAGAACGTGGGCGCCGCGTCCACGAGCCACTTTGGCTCGATGCTCGTCGTGCAGTGCATGTACTCCTTGGTCGTCAGCACGAGCGTGTGGTAAATGACCCACTCGGCCTGTTTCCCAAACAGCGCCGAGCTCGGGTGGAGGTACACCGGCGTCCCCTCGATGAGCGTCTTGTACCCTTCCTGCGGATCCTTGCGCGCCGCGTTGCGGAAGAAGCCAGAGCAGAGCGCCTGCCGCACAATCTGCGTATGCCGCCCGCAACTGACGATGGGGTGTCGGTACCGGTCCATGATCTTAACGAGCTGGTCGTGCACGTCCTTGGCGCGCTTCATTGAACGCGCCTGGATGAAGTTCTCGAAACACCAGGGGCTCGAGTAACTACTTTGCTTCCATGAGTTGTAGACGTTCAGCAGTGTGAGGTGGTCGCCGTGCGGGTCGTGGAATTTGGCCTTCTTCTGGTCTGCTTGCGACTGCTTCTCTTTGGGGCGGTAAAAAACATTGGGGAGATTGAGCATGGCGACAATGATGAGCATCTCTGCTGAGCACTTCATGTCAACGGAGATGATGAGCACCTTGGCCAGAGACGGTTCCATGGGAAAGTCTGCCATCTTTCGTCCCAGACGCGTCAGCAGGCCCTCGTCATCCAGAGCACTGAGCGCATATAGCTCTTCTAATGCTGTAAGCATAGTGTTAATTGGCGGGGGGTCCATGAAGTCAAAGTGCAACAGGTCGTTGATGCCCATGGCTTTGAGCATGAGAATGACGTGCGACAAGTTCTGCCTCTGGATCTCGGGGATGGTTGTAGGCAACATCTCGGACTGGTAGGCCGCTTCGGTGTACAAGCGGAAACACTTTCCAGGTCCTGTACGTCCGGCGCGGCCAGCACGTTGATTCGCCTGGGCTTGCGAAATCGGCGTGACAACCAATGAATCCATGCCCAACTTGGGATCGTAAGCGTTCTGTTTGACGAAACCAGGGTCAACGACGAAGTAAATGTTATCGATTGTGATGGATGTTTCGGCAATGTTGGTGGCAATGACCACCTTTCGGCAGCCAGGAGGTGCAGGATCGAAAATACGGCTCTGCATCTCATTGGGGAGTGCAGAGTACACAGGCAAAATGATGAGCTCTGGGACGTTGGGTCCTAATGCTTTCATCCGCTCATACAGAATCTCAGCCGATGTATCGATTTCTTCCTGACCCGTCAAGAAAAGCAAGATATCTCCAGGCGGTTCGGTAAGGTGAATCTGCATCACGGTGACGAGCGCAGCATCGAGATAGTCAGATTCGGGCTCGCGTGAGTACAGCACCTCGACGGGGAACGTGCGACCAGGAATCGTGAAAATGGGACAGCCGTCGAAATACGAAGAGAACTTGTCGGCGTCGAGCGTTGCCGATGTGGCAATGACCTTGAGATCCTTCCGACGCTTCATCGTCTTCTTCAGAAGCGCAAACAAGACATCCGTAGAAATGGTACGCTCGTGGGCCTCGTCGAGCATGATAACTGAGTAGCGCCTCAGATCGGGATCGACGAGGATTTCACGCTGAAGCATACCATCCGTCATATACTTGATCTTCGTCGCAGGACTGGTCTTGTCCTCGAAACGAATCGTGTAACCGACAGCCTCACCCAGCGGTGTGCCAACTTCTTCGGCCACACGCTTAGCAACGGACATGGCGGCTACACGTCTAGGCTGTGTGCAACCAATGACTCCGTCGTTGGCGAAGCCATCCTCGGCGAGATATTGCGTCAGCTGCGTCGTCTTGCCTGAACCAGTCTCTCCGATAACCACCATGACTTGGTGCTCCCTAACAGCGTCTAAAAACTTCCGCCTAAAGGCGAAGACAGGCAACGACTCTCGTTGATCCTTGATGCTCATGTTCGTCCGCTTGCCAAAAGTCTGGTCCTTTGGCGCCACAGCTCGCTTCCATTCCGGAACAGCGTCGGGCTTGCTCTGGGCCATCTGGGACTTGGCGTTTCGTAGATCGCTGGCGAACTTGCGCTTGTCTGGATCTGCCATCGGGTCGTTCCACTGCGCAGAGAGGTCGACCTTGGAGTCTTCCGCCGCGGCAGCCTCTGCTTCTTGTTGCTTTAGCTCCTTTCGCTCCTTTGCCAACGCAGTGCCCGACATGGCAGCTCTGTTCATAGAGCCATCGGGTGCTTTGACGACTCGAATGGGTGACAGTTCCAATGATTGCTTCGTCTGACCGGCCAGGAATGGCGGTTCCTCCTCTCGAACCTCGATATCGACATCCTGCTCCAGCTCCAATTCTCCATCGCCTGTCAGTGTCGCGTTATAATCTTCTTCGAGGTCGGGGTAATCGGAAGCCTTCGCGACACCGGACGCGATCAGCTGGCGGATCTCCCATCTTTCCGGGGACGTCATGCGCTTCTTCTGCCGGCGAGGCTGATGCTGTGGTGGTGGCATCGGCCCATCGTCAAACATGTTTCCATTCCGGCCGCCGCCGCCGCCACCCAACGCTTGCATATTTGCGCCCGAGGATATCCTGTCTTCCGGGTACAGATCCATGCCCGTCTCTTGGTCCACCTCCTTCATTGACAGTCCTATCCTGTTCCCCTCGATATTGACAACCTTGACTTTGACGTCCTGGCCCTTTTCCAACAGATCTGACGGGTGATTGACCCGCTGACCTTCCACCAGCCTCGAAATGTGTACCAAACCATCCACCTTGCCACGTACGCCATGCAGGTTGACAAAGGCGCCGAAATCCTTGATACCCGTGACATGCCCACTATAAACCTTGTGCAACTGAGGCGCATCGTCGACTTCGGGCTCGGGTGCCCTCCTGAAGCGGCCATCGTCCTCGTCATCGTAGTTGCGTCTCCGACTCCTCTGCTTCAGCGAAGGTCCGCTCTCGTAATCATCGTGCGATCGTGATCTCGACCGGTACTTGTCGCGCTTCCTCCGCTCCCTCGACCTTGACCGACCCCTCCGCTTCCGCCGTGAGTCGCGCCCGTCGTCTGGGCTGCGGCTTCGCTTGCGCGAGTCTGGTTTATCTTTCCGCGCCTTTCCCTCCAATCCTTCCAAAAGCGCTAGCGTATCGTCAATGGCGTCGACGCCGTCACCTATACTGTCGTACGCCACAGGCTTGTCGGGCACTGAGAGGCCTCTAAAGATCTCGTCCTTCT